TGACCACTTGTATTGCCTAATCGCGCCGTCTTACTGAACTCTTCCCACTAACTAGGACCAGATGGGACCGTGGTCCGTCCCACTGACCCCACCACTGACCAGGACCAGACGGGACTGTGGGTACTCCGTCGCACTGACCCCAGCACTGACCAGGACCAGACGGGACCGTGGTCCGTCCTACTGACCCAACACTGACCAGGACCAGACGGGACTGTGGTCCGTCCCACTGACCCCACCACTGACCAGGACCAGACGCTCGGACCGTGGGTACTCCGTCCCACTGACCCCAGCTGACCAGGACCAGATGCCCGGACGGCCGACTGTGGTCTGTTGGCTGACCGTATCTGGCCGCCATTCTCATCCACCAATGCCAGCGCTGCGACCGCGTAATATGGTAATCATGTTGCACGAGTCGCCGGCGAATAACTGAATTGTTTCCAAGCGTGCTGATATGTGTTTTTACTTTTGATATTTGTGTCAGAGTGTGGGCGTAATTCGTAGGTACGCACCACGTCTACTTATTAACATGTTAGTGGAAGTGACACATTGCTGGGGCCCTTCTTGTCTTATCCTTTTGTCCTTGGTATTGTCGGCAATGAGCTTTTTATTCATATAGATGGCCTGTAGGAGGACGTTAAAAGAGATCGATAAATGTGTTTTCTTTCGCTATTTTCCGAACTTAAAACGAAGGCTCGATGCAGCCTACTTGGCGTGTGAGTTTTTGCTGTGCAATTTGCACGCCCCAATGGAGATGCTCGTTCGGGTCGGTTTCCCCGACCTTCACCGAGTCGCGACGTCGCATACCTCGGTCGGGTTTTCACGCTTCACCGGTGCTCTGGGTGCTCTGGGGACGGCTAATGGATCTGGTCAGGGTCGGATCGGAAGTCAGCCCTGGACTGCCTGTGGTTAGGTCCCACAGTTTTCCTCTGTATTCTGCCCCCTCCATTCTCCCCTGCTCCATATTCCTATTCCCTGCCCCCTGCCTCCCAGCAAGCCTCTTTCCTAGCATGTGAAGTGTAACCAGAAACAAAAAACTATAAAGACATTCTTTTGTAGCTCAGTGGGTATGGTGTTCACCTGAAGGGATGAAATGATCAGGTGTAGATAATCCATGTGATTAAATGAACGGACTCTTGTTTATGTAGAGCGGATCTTGTTTATATAGAGCGGTCCCAGAATAGGCTGTTTCCTATAAAAGCGGGTTCCCTGGTTTGCAGGAAAACATATCTCCCGTTGCAGAGGAGGCAGGTCAGGCGGTGTCCTCCAGCCTCCAGCCTCCTGCTCCGACAGGCTGTGCTCTCCCTCCTCCGCCGACCGGTGACCCCTGACCTCTGCAGAGCCAACGGCCGGTGACCCCTGGCCTCTGCAGAGTCGACGGCCGGCGCCGGTCGGTCGTTACAGAGCGCTTCTGGGGACGGAGCAGAGCGCAGCAGAGCGCAGCAGCCGAAGAGAGGGGCGGCGCCACCTGGGCGGTACTCCTTTGGACAATGGATAGTTCGTCAAATAGATATGGCCGGCTGCTGCCACCTGTATTTACCTACATAACTCGGTATGCCCCACTCCCATGGGTCGGTTAGTCCGCCCGGTATCTGCATACATTCCCGATGCCCCATCCCGCCGGTCACCCGATTCCCCTGTAGCTACTCCCCAGTACACCCCCACTGCCGTGGGCTGTCACTTGCCAGCCAGTGCAACCCAGTTGCCCCAGCGCGGCTCAACAGCAAACTGATCCCAGCGAGTGGATTTGTCCGCTGTTGGCAAGGGTCATTGTGTGTATGGAGATGTAATAGCATTAGGCTGAGTAGCATCGATGTTCCGGGCCGGCGCCCGGCGACTGTTGCTGACGACTGACGAGCCAGCCGGCTGCTCGGAGCTGGCTGAGGAGCCTGACCGGCGGCCGGCTGTGACCTGCACCGGGTGCACGTGGCGTGACGGGGACACTTGGAGCTCCAGGCCAGTGTTTGCCGGTCCGATTATATGGCTAGCGGCACTGATGGGTGCCTGAGCCTCCAAACGATGCAACATGCTCAGAAGTCCTAAGTCAGCTCTTTGTTTAATTGCATTTTTCAGTCGATAACTTTTTCTGCTGTCATCCAGTCGTATCCGGCGTGCAGGTGGCTGCCCCCACAAAATGGCCGGCAGGCTGGTGCCAGCATATACAATCTCGCTGGAGAGGTTTGGTTAAGTCTCTTTTCATGAAGAGAGCATAGCAATCCTGCTGTGCCAGCACGGTCCTTGCGGAGTTCTGCGGCTGACGGTGGGCCATTCTCCTCTGATGAATGTGAGATGGTCGTTTGTTGTTGCGGCCGGCTATACGATAACAAACGTTCGAGTGCGGCCCAGGTGTCTGACATCCCTCGCGAGTTCGAGCGGTATGCACCTGGCCTCAATTGTAAACCTGAGGCACGTGTCCCCCCATATGTGATCAGAGGGACTCGGTCGGAGCTATGACTGTCCGGGTGACCAACATCAGCACGGTCACCTACCGAGGGCAGATAACGGAACACTTACCACCACCACCCGGCTGAGAAGTGTCTGAGTAGCGCAGTTAGAGAGGAAGTATGCTGAACTGATGTGCGTCACCTGTCCAACCCAGTTCACCACAAGGACCCGCGTCTTGTGTGACCTGGTCACTGTGGGCCAGGGGTCATTGTAAGAGAGTCAGATATCGCCTACGTTCGCTACATCACGTGTGTCTCGAGCCGACACGGCTCGCCGTCTTGCCTGCCGGCGCCGGACGCCGTCCATCGGCCGTTTCTGTCACTGGTGGACCGCCCTCGGCCCCAGGCTGTGATTTAGGGAGAGCCCGGCCGGCCAGCGCAACGGCCGGCCGTGACATTTCGTCAGATTGTCCGTCTTGCAGCCGGTCGGCGGCCACCATCGCTGTAGCGTTAGATAAATCGGCCCCTGATCTATGGTCGCGGCGATTGGATACGGTCTAGAATTCAGTTTGATGGAAGGAACTGCATGCCTTATCGCAGCTGGCAGATTGAATGATATATTTCAGCTTGATTTCATACACCCATTTATTTAACAAGTGCCGCTTGCTATTTTTGTAATGCTATACACCACAGCTTTTGCACGCTAGCTGCATTTAAAGCAGATAACCCAGTGCATTCCTCTGGATGACAAGCTATATTATCTGCATATTGGGGAACCAGTGAGCCTGAGAAGCGCTTTCGGTCAGCACTGCGGTCAGTCCAGGTTCTGGTATGAGCGCCATTCGTAGTTAGCTCACGTCCTAGGAGCGGTAAACTCAGCACCGGCCGGCGCGGCGCGGCGATCATCCGCTGGTGGTGGACCGTGCAGTGTGCCTCCCCCCCCCCTTCCCTTCGGTCCGAGCAGACCCGAGCTGCGCTGTACCGGGTGGTCATCTCCCTCCCCCCCCCCCCTCCCCCGGCCGCACCGGCACCTGTGGGTGACTGGTGGTGCGTCACCGGCCGCCGACACTGCTGAGTCGGTTCCGACGACCGCCGCCCCTCGGCCGCGCCCGCCCCCGACACTGAGCTGTCGGTGGCAGGTCCGCCCCGCCCCCTCCCTATAGCGTCTCCCTCCCCCAATCACGGCGCTGAGATGGTCTGCGGAACAAAATGTTGGAGGCGACAGAGACTGCCGGTGGTGGAAGCTGTAGTAGCTACCGTCTGTTCAACCATTGCAGCGCGTGCTTTGACTTAGAAAGCTCATATCGGTTGCCGTTTGGCCTCGAAGTGATGGATATTATCCAATTTCCAATTTTCAGTGCAGAGTTAGAGAGCTCAGAGCCTGCATGGTCCGCCGTCTACGAGAACTACCTTCCACCACTCACCACTCACCGCCGTTCGCCGCACGCCGCTCCCCCCCCCCCCCCCCTCAGCAGCCTCGCTGCAGCGGTCGCAGTTTATGACCCGCCGCCGGCCGAGTCGACCCATACTGCACACGCAGCGGCGTCTGGTAACGGCAGTCGAGGGCTGCGGAATGGACCGGGCGGCACCGTCCGGCGCTCCAACAGCGCTGCTCCGGCTGCGTGGAGCGCACGGGAGGCCCGCGGCAAGCTCAGTCCGACGGGTCGATAGGCGGAATTTAGCTTTAGTCTCGGCTCTGCTATCTTTTGGTCTATTGAAGTGGGTTGGTTAGCGCTGCAGAGCTATAGGAAATGCGATTGCATACCTAACATAACGTCATATAGTTGGGACGAAGTCTCATCAACTTACTCGCTATTTTTTCTACATAAGACCGAAGCGGTTGGATGGTGATTGAACCGTTTTCATCGTGCGCTAGTGCTACATGTGTTCGTGCATCCACCGAGATTGTCTCTATTGATGCGACATTGCATGAAACGCGGCCGACTGAACGAACATCCGATATCACCCACCGTGCTGCAGCACATCACATTTAGCCAGGCGTCCCATAATAACATATAGCACACCCCCTCTCGCACATAAGCTTTTGGGGCACATCTCCTGAAAGCTTGGCTGGACCGGAAGATGTGCCACTAGATCCATCACGGCGACAGGCGAACTGACCTGACCCGCTGAACTCGGCGGGACCTGTCGAGCTGTCGGCGCCGCCCCTCCGCCGACTGAAAATGGCCGGCGTCTGTCTGACTCGGCCGGCACCCTCGGTCCCCGCGGCCTGCCGACCCAGCACCGGGCGCTCACTCGACACGGCAGTCCATTGTGGAATTGGTTCGATCGCTGCAGCCGGCGAGGTGCGCGACTGGAGACGGCAGACGGTGGTGAGCTAGGGTGGATTCTGTGCTTTAGAGACGGCGGCGGGTTAGGGCGGAGTCATCTCTGCAGATTGTGGGTAATGGCAGGTTGGGGTGGATATGATTAGGAAAAAGTGAAATTTTTTACGTGATTTACTGTCCCCATCCTCCCTCCAACCATTCATCAAGTTGACCTGCCCTGCCCTGACCTCTGCGCAGGCTGACGGTGCTCTAACTGACCTGCCCTCCTGTCCCCTCACTGCGGGGCGCGGGCTGACGGTGCTGTGACTGACCAGACTTCTCCTCTCGACAGGCTGACGGTGCTCTCTGTGGCGCTGGCCGTGTCCGACCTGAGCTCGGAGGTGCCCTGTCAGAGCCAACTGTGGGAGTACATCCTCGGCTACCTCATCATCCTCAGCGGATGTCTCTTGCTGGAGGCGTGCATCGTCGGCGTCAGCATGCGCGGCTCCATCCTGGAGACGGCGCCGCGAGAGGCCACCCAGTACCTCATCTACATCAGACTCGGTGAGTGACTTTACCGCCCCTGGCTTTTAGATACCGACTCAGGGGCGCCCCTGGCTCACTGACCCGACCTGACCGACCCGACCGAGCAACACCGACGCGGGGCGCCCCTGACTCCTCAGACACCGACACGGGGCGCCGCGCGAGGCCATCCAGTGACCAGTGCCTCATCTACATCCGACTCAGTGAGTGACTGCCCGCTAGCCGCCTTATGGCTCTTCAGAAATGACCCGGGGCACCCCTGGCAGTCCTGGCTCCTCAGTCCTCAAGCACAGACCCGGGGAGGATATAGAGTAGGGAAGTATAATGATGCTGCACTGTCACCTGTGCGGTCGGGCTCGCCCTCTCAGTGCCGGGTAGGACCCACAGCTGTGTCGGACGGGCTAGGGTGAGCTGGGCGGGCAGGGTTAGAGTCGCCCTCTCAATGCTCGGCAGGACGCAGCTGGGTCGAACGGACGGGGTTAGAGCTGCCCTCAGAGCTAGGCAAAACACACATCTGGCTTGAGTGGGCCGGTCGGACAGGGTTTAGAATTGCCCGTAGTGCTGGACAGGACACACAGCTGGGTCGGACGGTTGAACACTGAACAGCCGGACGGAAAGAACCGGGGAGCTGTGTGCAGGACAGAACAGGACACAGCTGGACCGGACTGAACTGGTGACACGTGCAGGACAGGGACGGCAGGCATACCGGTCGGTCCCCACAGCTGCGCTATTGTCAACGACAAGTGCCTCAGTGATCGATGCGTGGCAATATGTCAAATGCAGCAACTGCCTGGCAAATGATCGCTATAGTGACACAAATCAGCATGCATCATTTAGTCGTGTGTGCTCCGAGCTACGGTATATTCCGGAGCTAGATCCTTGCGACGAGTGATGCTGGCCTGTACTTGACAGTTGACAGACAGGATTCGTTCCCTGAGGCTGACTTGTCTCAATAGCAAACAGGGCAGGAGCTCCCCATAACCATCCCTTTCCCACCGTCTATCTCATAAACTATACAGACAAGCAAGACCCATTCTCGGAGTATCAGACAGGAAGTGCCCCCTCACCGCTCCCGCTTCACAGACTGCAGACAGGCCCCGCTCCCAAAGTCCCAGTGTCAGGAAGGAGGCCCCGCCGGCCTGGGAGAGGCGCCGCTCAGTCGCTCGTCGAGGTGCTCTCGCCGGCCGCACCGGCCCGGTTCCCAGCACCTGCACGCGGCCCCGGGTCAATGTCGGGCCGGGCCGGGCCGTCTGACGGCAGTGTAGTGGTGCCGAGGTCAGTACGGCGCGGCTGGGATCGGCCCGGCCCGGCCCGGTTCTGTCAGACGACTTTATTACGGGACTGCGCGGCCGTTGGGGACAGGGCACAGTGATGGAGGGCGCTGCCACGGCTGGGGGTCGGCGCTACGCACTGATCATTGCGGACCCCGGCAGACGGCGGTCGCGGTGGGAGGGGTGCTAATTCATTTAGTGGCTACGGCCTCGACCTCAGGTGAACCGTCCGAGCAGTGGTTCGGCACAGATAACTAAACCTCCCAGCGACATTCAGCCGGGCGTCCGGAGAGATAGAGTCGAACCAGCTCGGTCCAGACTGTATGCACCGAGCCACATTTGCATACCGTTGTGCAACACCTTCATGAAGTGTTCTATTCCATTGCAGCGCTCGTGTGTCGAGCCCGAGCAGTGCCGATAATTTGGAACGGAAAGTGGTCGTGCATGTAACATTGTGGACGTTAATGGGCGCTACAAGTGATCAGGATGGCGATCTCAAGGTCGGGAAAAATGATAACCGTCTTAGCGGACGGAACGTTTTTGGTGAAATTCAATTTTACACTTTCTTTTCCTTGTCACATTTCCTAACTTTCGCATTCGCACTTCACTTCTTTAATTCATTAATTTCTTTCTTTCTTTCTTTCTTGACAATTTCGGACGTTCTAGGCCCCAATCGAGGCGTGTCGGAGCACTCGGGCGCTGCTGTGGCAGGGAGGGAGGGGCGTGGATGACATCCGCTTGTCTGTTCCACCACAAAAAGGCGACGGACGGCCAGCCGCTGGCAGACGCGAAGGCGGCCGGCGAATCAGCGCTTATCACAGCCGATTGAACCGCGAGAGGCGTTCTGGACGCCGGAGACTGGCTGTCAGAAGCGCGTACTACGCTTCCTGAGGCTGCATTCCGCGGATATATCTATGTGACGCGCAACTGTAAATATCACAGGCCTACAGTGAATCCGTTCTTTTTGGGGGGGAGGTGTGTGATTGTGTGATTTTGTGCACTGCGAATATCACCGCCCGCCCAGCCTGGCCGGTCGCAGCGCATGCGCCGCTGGGCGGCGCATGCGCTGTGACCCGTCTGCGGGCGCCGGGCGGCGCGCGGCGGCCCGCGCGGGAGGAGAGGGGTCAGTGTGTGCTGGTGACCGGTCGTGAGAATACAGGTCAACGAGAGCACCGCCTTTATCTAACATCTACTTAGGTTATTTATATATCCGGATGTGCCCTGACCCGATGGCATTTTTTCTCCATGTTATCCTTGTTTTTGCGCATCTACACTGAACGTTATTTCCGTCTAGCTGGGGGCACATCACGACTGAGAGCGCCTATCTTCCGCTGATGGAGGTGTGTCGTGGCCTTGTCGGCTCATGGCCCGATAAAGAGGCATTCAGCGCCGGGGCGGTCAGCTGACCTTGAAGTACCACCTCCTCCGCGGTCGGCGGTGCTGTACGGCCGTGTCGTGGTGCCGGGTGGGCGTGAACGTGAGTCCCGGGGCGTTGCCGGCCGCTGGGGCGTTCACCTGGGACCCGTACTCGGAGCTGAGGAAGGAGGATGTTCGTGTGGACGAGTGCCCGCCGTACGGCGCTGGGTGTCGGCGCCGCTGCATCTTTATCGCTTGCGACGCATGCATCAGCTCATGCCCTTACGATGCATAGCTGGTCAGGTCACTCCATCCGCCGGCATGACTTCAGAGGAGACCCGCGAAACGCCGTCTGATGGCAGAAGAAATGAGGCCTTGTGTCCGCCGGCAAGCGGCCTCAATACTGAGCACTAATCTCAGGAAACACATGAGGAGCTTAGCAGCCTGGACAACCTATCATTTATTTACGATTCTCTGATATCGACCTTACCTTGTGTTCGCGGTCTCACGCATCAACAAGCGTTGGCGCGCTCTTCCTTGAGCTTTAGGTATTTCTAGGCCCACGTTCGCTTGCACTTCACTTCATCCAATAAACTTTACGATCTACAAGGCAACTTCCAGAGCCCGAGCCTATGTAGAACTGCATTTAATTTCCGGTCAGCTTGTAACGTGCCCTTGTATCGTGGTCCATTTCAGACAGCTGCAAATAGATGCACATTTGTTCTTCACGAGAGGATGTTCATTTAGTCTCCAGCGGTTCCGGTGCCACTCTGTTCCCTGTCGTGTTACGGCTACGGGTGAGAAATGAGAGGGGCTGAGCGCTGACCGCCTCCTTCGTCACGTCCCAGACGGTACGGCTTCGTCACGTTACTGTCATTCTGCCGTGTCACACTTATATCACGGTCATGGCCGCCAGACCGCCGGCGCTCACAGCCGTGACGTTAGGCTTAATCCGTGCCGGATGGACGGACCGTGATGTGACGCGTGACTGATCGTGATGTGATCTGTGACAACCTGTGATGTGATCTCTGACACCTCGTGACATGACTCGTGACGAGACAGGGTGGTATGTTGTTACCCGAAGCAGAGGCTGTTAGACCGTATAGACGGAATTCGAATCAAACTGATGTTGCAACAAATGTTGTGATACCTCGGCGCTGAGCCCGTCCTCTGACCGACCCGATCCGACTCCGAGTCGTCTGGCTTGCCGTTCCCGCTGCTCAAATGGGCGCACATGGGACCGCGCCGGGGTGCTCTGCTGGCGTCGTTCAATCCAAGGACGGGCTGCTGCAGCGTCTGTCGTTACCTCCCGCAGAGGATTTAGAGAGGCAGCTGGGTAGCACCGGCCGGAACGGGTCCCAGCCCCTCCGTCTGAATGGGTTCTCTAGCTCTGGTGTTTGAACGTGAATTTGCCTGAATTCTGGTACCCTGGTCACGTCGAACTGTTAGTGAAGCCATCTGTTATGTTGATCTGCTAGATCTGCCATGCTGCTGCGATGAGGGTGCAGTTGTCTGTTGTCGGATGATTCGCGATTTTTGGCCACCAAGTGCCGATCATTCATATATTTAGTGTACACTCATGCAACATTTCTTACGAAAGGATTTTTTAGTACCGTCAACCAGGGCCTCCTCTAAGGAATTTTCACTGGGGGGCCAGAGGCTCAGAAGTCAAACCTATAGGGTACCCCCAAATCCAGTTTTCTCATCGGATTTAGGCCACTTATTTTTCGTCACAGCCCTGATACCATGATTTTCGTGTTTAATTTGAAAAAAAAATATTCAAGAAATGGTAGGCCACGTCACCCTACTGGTGGATCCAGGCGGCAGGGTCACATTTTAGGTACCTAACGATCCCGGCAACGTTCGAAATCGACGAAAATTTCTGGCTTTTCGACTTTCGAGAATAAACAAAATCCCTATATTATAGAAAAATTGTATTAAACGGCACGCAGTGCGTCAGGAATCTAACCAACCGCTAAAAGTGTGAGGGTCAATCTTTCCCACTAACACTGGAATTCATTAACCAACAGCTACCTGCCTGAAAACAGCTCACTATCCTAAAAAGCTACCTGCCTGAAAATGACTTAAGAAACAGGCCACAGGTCAATAGTAATGAAGGCTAGGGACCGGGTCATTTCAGGAAATGTGCAGCCAATTGGTAATCACAAGAACACTAAAAGTTTTGCCACGCTGGGCCACTTTTTGCGTGAGTTATTTACGAAAACCCTAGGGGTGGGTCTATCTAACGGCTAACCCCTCAATAAGTGTGAGGGCTTATTGCTTCCAGTCCCAAACACCGGGGAATAAAAACTTTTCCCGTGCTCCGCCGCGTTCTCATTTGACCGTAGCAAGATTTCCTCTTCAAGAATGAACCCGTCTCCCGAATAAAATAGTCCTTCTCCGTGTAGAAGCGTGAGCGTTTGACTGATTGAGAGGGCGACCTTCCGGGACGCTTCCTTCTCAAAGGAATTCATCAATGGCCATGCCCCGTTCGGGCTTCAGTCGGTGTTCAATTATAAAACTGCATTGTCTGACCTCATTCCGTGGCTCATCTTAGGCAACAGGCGGATGTGTAATGTTCTTTGTAGATAAAAAACAACGGTAGGTATAAGAAAACTAAAATTAGTAACGTGGTGATCGTGGAGATAGTCTGGAATCTGGATTGTTTGTGTGGTACGCTTTTAGTGAAATTTCCTCATTTTTCTACATTATTGGTTTAACTGTGTGGCCCCCCAGTGACGCGATTTCAGCTCCACTGGGGGGGGGGGGGCAGCGGCATCACTGGGGGGGCCGCGGCCCCCCCCCCCAGTTAACGTGTTAGAGGAGGCCCTGCCGTCAACTATCCGCTCATGTTGTCATGTTTCTATCCGTAACGTCCGTTCTGTGACTATGTGACTTTATCTGAAGTGCTGTGTCTGTGTGCCTGTTTCCAGGTGTGATGGTGGTGGAGATGGCCGTATCTAAATTCCTCTGTCTGTGTGCCTGTTTCCAGGTGTGATGGTGGTCGAGATGGCCTGGCTGGTGGTGGGTGTCATCTGGCTGGTCAAGTACTACCACTCGTGTCAGGCGCCCACCGCCAAGGAGGCTCTCATAGGTGAGACCGCAGGCGCCGTACGAGCTGGGAACGTGAAGCAGGGGTGCACCGTGACCATCGCGTTCATAAGAAATTACCGGATGATTCGATATTAGGCGCCTAATGCTCTATCAACGCGGTCAGTCGCTGTGATCAGGCGGGACAGATAGCTCACGAATTGACCTGACCCCTCGATACCCGCTTATTATCTTGACGTTCTATCCATAAGAATTAGCAAACGTGTCGAGTTAAGGTTATTTGAACGGCACGGCTATTACCTCACCCAATATTCATGCAGATAACGTCACCCAAGGCCATCATCGATGTTAGAAAACAGACAGAATAAAAAAAAAAACGCGGCTGTGTCTAAAATTCCCTCTATCATCGGTCGCTCCTACGTCAATACTAGGAATACAAAACCATTGAATTCCTCCTATCTCACTCACGCTGGCGTATATCCGATAAAACGCCCGGGCTCTGTTTGGTGATCCCGCCGTCCTATTTACTCTGAACACCAGGGGCCGCCTCTGACGTCGCTATAGTTCTCCACACACGGCACGCAGATTTAAAGGTCACCGATATTGCCGCTTGGGAAATATGGGGGCGGCGCCGGGTCATTATGCAGACTGCGTCAGCCCAGACTGTGATCTGCGGTCTCGAGCCATGGGAGGGGAGGTGCCGACCGGGCGTTACATTCACAGTCTGCTCCGGTTACCCAGTTATCTTCATTTGCAGCTGCATACAGAGTGAATTGGGTGAGAGTCGGCGCGTCCATTGCCGGCGCTGTAGGTCGTTTGGCTCGGAGCGGGGCGTCTGGACTGCCGGCGGGCCGCTGTCGGGGCGCTGTCTGGAGTCGGTACAGAGCGGCGCGCCCGCCTTCCCACGGCCCCCGTGGTGGTCGTACCGAACTGAACGAGGGATGGGTCTGCCGAGCGTTCACAGAGCAGGGAACAGAGCACTCGGGGGGTGGTAGTTACTGATTACCGGCTGATGGTTACCAGCGAGCTGTGCGGGTTGGCGCTGCGAACCAGTGTTTTAACCTACCGACCAGATGAAACAACCTTACAGACTGGCTACACGAGTGCCTATACGGATTTCCTGTGCGCATGGTTTTAATTCTTACATATTCGAATAAGGACCGGCCCTGTGGTATGAAGTAATGAACCTCTTGAACGTCAATTCACACGGAATTGCCGCACGATTCGGCTCGGTCGCAGACGGCGACAGTTCCATCCCGTCCCGTGTCGTCCCGTCTCGTCTCGTCTCGTCCCGTCCCCTACCTTCGCCGTCTTGCCGTGCCGTGCTGTGCCGGTGTCTATACTCTGTCCCGGCGGAACTGGCGCTCCCCGACCCACCCCCACACCGTCCGCCGCCGGTCCATCTCCGGCCAATCATACGCCGCTCTCCGCCCGGCTCATCACACGACGCTAACCGTGTTTGGCTCGGCGCTGTGTCGCCCCCCGACCGAAAGGCCACCCGGTCTGATGACAAACTGGCGAAGTAGGCCGGCATTTTGTAAATGTCAATGATGCAATATAAAGACCAGCTGTTTGGGACGCTTCATATGTGTGCCGCTATAGCGGGTCATTCAATGTCGTCCTATTTTGGTGCACTCCGTAATGGTGTTAGACGGTAGGTCAGGGCGAGTCCGCTGAGGAATGGCAAGCAATGATGTTAGCTGGCGGCAAAGTGAGGTGTTTCCATCCTTATTTTTCAACGTTATGATGCCGATAGTGAATTATCGTTGTCTGGAAACTGTGTCTGGGTCTGACTTTTACGTTTGCACGCTGTCTGGGTCTGCTTTCTGTGTTTCTGTGTCATTTGTCGGGATATGAGTCTACTGAATATGTTTGTGGTTATTTTTAACCGTGTTATTGTCCTGACGACATTTTGCGTAGGTCTGTGATCAGACTTTTTGTTCACCCGAAGACCTTATGACCTGTTGCTTGTGCTGTGCACCTGACAACTGTTGGTCGCCAATGTTGCATGCAGCGTTGACGATCAGATAACCTGTTGCCATTGGCACTTCGGCCCCCGCCGATGCCACTGACCCGTTACCCGCGCCCCTGATGATCGCCGATGGGCGCCGCCCGTGACCTGTGACTGTGTCACTGATGACACAACAGGTGACCTATGGCCTGTGACCGATTGACTGTCGCTGCAGGCGCCGTCATCTGCAACTGGATCTCCGTGACGAGCGCCTTCATCATGGTGTGGTGTACGTTCGACCCTGCCGGCCGGTCCTGGGTCAAAATGAAAAACTACCAGCGCACTATGAAGGACGGCCAGAAAAAGTACCAGTACAAACGGTCCGGCAGCCACCACAGAAACTGGCGGCAACGGTGAGCGGCTGAGAGACTGGATTAGTAGCAATAGAACTGAAATACATTGTCAATGCCCAGCATGTAGACTATGCATAGGCACGCGTCGTCCTAAAGCAGGACGTCTTGAGGCTAATGGACGGTACTTTGTGCTTCATTACAGCGAAATGCCATGATGCTCCAGGCTGCTTTGTGCTTAGTGAATTGTATATCCCTTAAGACTGGTATCAATTTTTAACCGCTGACATCTTTCCCTTTCATCCATTCTGAGTGTTTCCGCTCGTCCCCGCCGCCCCTGCCATTCTGACACCGGTCCGTCGTGTATCTACCTGAGCCCAACCTGCCGTCGGCGCCGCTCGGCTAGTCGGCAGTGTTTTGTTTCACAGCACCATAACTGCTGGGCTGTTTGTGTCCTGGCCTTTGAGCCGGCCGCCTACGACGCCCAAACACACATGAACGATGATTACAGAGTGGCGGGCGTCAGCTCGTCCGACCTCATCTCCGGCTTGGCTTTCGCGCTGCAGTCGTTCTTCGCGTCGATCTTTCTGTCCTTATGTACGATTCGTCAACGACTGAATGTGCATACCCGTACTTGTATATGAATGAGTTGGCAGAAATGCATCATGTGTCATGAGAGCAAAGTTAGTTGGTATTAATTCAGATAAGCAGGTGATACGCATGTGGCATTGCCAATTACCCCTTCCCCTCGTGTCCTTAGGAAGGTGCTGCGGGCCTACCGCGACTCGTGGGATAACCGGTGTCGGATGCTCTTCTGCTGTATGGACCGGTCGGACCGAAACCAGGTAAATACAGAATATTTGTCAGTTTACATTGAACATAGAAATTGCTAGGAACCGGACGAGCGAAGGCTCGCATCTAGTCAGTAAGAAAAACTTACGCGCTGTCGCTTATCGACGCATGCATATCGAAGGATTTTTGTGTGTGTGTGTATGTTTGTGTCCGTGTCTGATGGTTGTGTCTTACATACCCGTTGACCCCGGTCGGCTTAATCGCAGCCCTGTCATCAGGGGCCTCACTGGCGCCCGGCCCGGTTCTGGCTGCTGAGATGTAGCGGTAACGCACCCCTCCCTCCCCCATACATCATCATGATCCCCGTGCCGACGGATGGCGGCGCCTGTGCACGCCTCCGCAGCCGCTGTCATCACCGTGGAGTAAATCATTGCCGTATAAAGGCAAAACCCATTATGTTCGGGTGACCTCTGACCTGAGGTAATGGCTTCTGACCCGACATAATGGTTTTTGCCTTTCCACGGCAGATCAGACCCTCTCCTCACCACCTCCGCTTGGCTGTGACCTGTCCTCCCCTCCTGCAGAACTCGTTCGCCGATATCGCTCAGCTTCTGTCCGAGTTCTTCCGCGACCTGGACGTAGTGCCCTCGGACATCATCGCCGGCCTGGTGCTGCTGCGGCGCGTCCAGAAACTCGAGAGGAACAACATCGTCAAATCGGTGAGCCGCTTCTTCAGCATAGTGTAGAGACTAAATGAGTCTCCTCACTAGTGTTCTTAGAGTTGCTTAAGGAGATGGGATAGCTGGAACAGACGCAATAGGCTGATTAGATTACGAGTGCCGGTAATGTATTCAGGGCGCTCTGATGTAGATTGGGAGGCCGTTTCTCAGCCCGACTTTGCGACTTTATTCTTTTAGCGGGGGCCCGCTGGGACAGTCCCCGGCTGAGCCGGTGCGCCCGGCTCCCTATTGACATCCCGGATTTAGCGGCGCTGATTGTCGGCGTCGGAATTGAATACGCCTGCCGCTCCGTATATCGGCGCTCCAGCTCGGCTCGACGGCGCCCAAATGGACGCATTTATCGCCGACTGGCATTGCGCCGGGCGCGCCGCCCTTGACCAGCTCGGCAAACGTTACGACATCGTGTGCGAGTTAGTAACGGCGCTGCGTACGGAATATGTCTGCGCTCATGGCCGCCGGATAAACCAATGACCGTCGCTTGTAATTCTGTCTAACTCTAAGTCAGTAACGTTAACGAAGAGTGGGTGGATTACATTAGCATTACGTCTGATTAGGATCACCAGACGTCTGCCCTTTCCATCTGCGTTACTCTCCGCGAGTGACGCGGCCAATGAAGCACAACACGAGCCATGAACGCCGGTCGTGAAGGCGCCGTGAAAAATGGCCGTTCGCCGCCTATCCGGGTCGGTTATTTAAGCTGCCGCCGCGCTCCGGCCGAGGTCAGATCGTGACGTCACTGACCGTATGACGTCAGCGATGGGTGGTCGGCAGTTAGCGGGCCATATTATCAGCGGCCACAGTCGGGGGTGCTGTAAACGGCAGCCGCCGGCGCTACCGGCTCCTCCCCGGAACACCGGACAGAGGCTCGTTGTCCCCGCACTCCGCGGGACACTGACATCTTAGATAGGGACGGAGCCCTCCGTCCCCATCTCTGGAACTCACGTCACTCCAATCCACAGGAAGTTGTTATCTCTAGCATATCTCTACTCTACCCCTAAAGTTGCCGTCAGTTGGTCGAATCTTTAGACGAGCTGTGCGTGTGCGATGGTCCTATCTCAGTCTCCTTGTCCTCGAAGAGACACTTAACGGCGGCTACTATCGCTCTGTCAGTGAGCTGCAAGCGCTTTTTTCCTCAAACTGTGCGGCTCTGCCGGTGCGTATTATGCCACCTGGTCGGCACCTCCTCGCTGCTCCTAACCTCTTTCCGCGGATCCCCGTATCCTCGTGCCGTCGCTCGGTGCAAAATCTGACGGGCGGTGCGTATTTCGGTCTCGAGGAGCGATACGCGAGGCGCACTGCCAGCTGTCTGTCTGTCTGTCGATGCGACGGTAGTGCCGCTACTCAGACTCTCAAGACTCAGTGTTTGTCGACGCTGCTAGTGCCGCTTCTCAGACTCTGAGACTCAGTGACGATAGCGGGCCGCCAGCCTCCTGCACGCCGGTGACGGTTTTGATTGGCCTCCTTGGCCACTGCCCTGCGGCTCAGTCCAGCCCGCCGTTGTGTGTGTTTGGGAAGTTTTGGCGAGGTCGCCGTCTCACCCGGATCTGCTCCGAGAGCGGCCAATTCTCAGCCGCCGCTGCCGCCTCCAGCCGACAGTGTAGTGTCGTGTCATCACCGCCCCCGCCCCCGCCCTGAGTGGGCGGCTCGGCGGGCGGAGTTGGCACCCGTGGCGTCTCCTCGGCTGCTGGTAGGACGGCGCGCCGCCCGGTGCCGACTGATGGGGCTGTCATACGCGTCCACTGACGACTGCCGAGGCAGCGGTACACTAACGAGTGACGGGGCGGTACCTCTGGCAGGGTGTGAGAGGAGGCAGGGATTATCAAGGGAATTATGCTGCCTTGTTGGAGTGAGGCTGGTATGGCGATCGGTCACGCTGTGGATTATAGGGTCATGTAATATCATCGTGCCACAACAGTCTTTTGTATGATTGATAAGAGCTTAGCTTCAATACCAGTCTTTTGTATTCTGGTGTCGGGCTGAGAAAACAGCGAAAACGTGACCAAACGCTTTAAAATCCGCTTGGGCTAGGGCATTCGTTTTCGTCTTTTTCCCGATGGACAAAGAGTGAACTCGCTTGCTGAATTTAAAGCGTTTTGGACCTCACAAAAATAACGTCTGTCGTCCGACACTTATTCTGAGCAAGATGAACAGTGATGAGTACTTCGCTCGTTTTTTTTTATAAAAAGGAAGTGTGCGTTTGCGGTCTTATGGCAACTTGGTTAGCGGCGTCTGACTGTCGAACTGCGGCATTCCCTTGATTGAGCTGAGCTGACCTGGCCTGACCTGCCCCGTGTCTAAAGACACGTACGAGTTTCTCTCGAGGGTATAGCAACCTGACCTGGCATGATCCACAGAACTCTAACGACATGCATTAGTTTCTGTCGGGGCTTCTGACCTGACCCGACCCGTGTCCAAAGAACTCTAACGACACGTAGGAGTGTTTGTCGCGGGCGATGACTGACCTGACTTGACCTGACCTGGCTCATTCCCACAGAACTCGAACGACACGTACGAGTTTCTGTCGGGTGTGAAGGTGACGCCGGCCTCGACGTTCCTGGCGCTGAACCAGCCCGACCAGCTGGCCTTCTTCAAGGATGTCATCCACTACATGAGGTCAGTGACTGCCGCGATCCGCTCACCAACGCGCTATTCTGTCCCGCTTCCAGGAGAAAACTCACTACATGAGGTCAGTGACTGGTGCGATCGGCTCACCAACTCTTTACTCGATCTCGTTTTGAGGTTCCCTCTAGGCTCTACTCTATGTTGTTCGACGTTAGTGATGAATTAGTGTCACCACCGGTAGAGATCAATGTGTTTGAGTATCGTTACCGACACAATGCCGCTCAGGACCAGCGTCCCCATGATATAGTGGGGAGACTCGGGGTGGTATACAGAACGTAAATCACGGGCCGCCGAGTGGCGCTGTTGATGTGGACAGTGACGAGCGGTCGCGCAGTAGTATATTACCGGTTGGGAGGGTGGACGAGCAGGAGGGGACTGCAGAGGACAAACCCGGCCAGTTTCGCACCAGTCAAGCAACCCGCTGGAGTAACAGATCCGTTATCAGTCCGCTTCATCTGCGCTGACCTGTACTCCGGTGGGTGCCACAGCACTACGCATTCGTTCTCATGAACTAGCGGTAAATGTAGGAGCCGCACAGACACACAGCCTACAAAGCAGACTGCATTGGCACAACAAATGATTGCTGACAGTGTGCGCCGTTCTGTGGCGATTCGCTATTGGGCGTCTTTTTATTGCGTTCCCATTCACATTTTTTGTCTTATCCACCATATGAATGGTGGGATAGAGCCAGAATCGGAAACACGGCCGCACAAGAGCGGATAACAATATGGTCGGGTTATGTTTTCCCTGCGACCATTTCTTCGTGGCTTGTTTTTTCGCTCTCGCTCTATATCCCTCCTGTAACTCATCGTGTGACCTTTTCGGCCAGTCAATACTCGTGGTCGTCCAATCAATAACAGAGAGGCTGCCTGCACACACAAACACACACGGCCAAATGTCAGCGGCGCCAGCCGTGGCCCGCACCCACGCACCGCCCCCGGCGACCGAGCGCTGCTTACGCACACACACGGGCTCGAATAGTGCGTGCCGAGGCATCTCAGCGTCCCGGGCTGAGATTTGCCCGGGCCCAGCTCCGGCCCGGCTGCAGCGCCGGTGTGACGTCACCGCTCGATGTGTGACGTCATAGCCACGAGATCAAAGCCTGCTGCAGGGGGCGGCTCCCGGGAGGCGGTGACGTCAGCGCCGCGCCGTCTCCTCAATGTATGACGTCACACCTATCCGCTCGTCGGTGGATGCTGTGTATGACGTCACCGCTGCCCTGACGTCACTGTGTCTGTGTATCCTCAGGCTGGCCATGTCCATCTACGGCTGGCCCGTGTTCATGATGCAGCACTCCAGCACGGGCTGCTGCCGGCTCTGCCCCTACCTCAAGTGAGTGAGTTCACCGCTGAACACTAGAGACGCATCCAGCTCCCTCATGACTGAATGGAAGAGAATTATTGATCTAGGCATACTGCATTAGTATCTGTTTATCGAATTTGGACGATAATGATAGATAAAGCTGATGTTACGTTTTATTAGGCTCGACTTTCACGGATGCTTGACCGCGCCTTTACTGGATTTTCTGCTGAATGCATATTCATGTGGCCTGATAGGCTATTTGGACGTCAGCGCCGGCCTGAATCGAGGGCTCTCAAATCGAGCAGCACCGCTCTTTATCGGCCATTAGAGCGCGTATGATGACGTCCAGTTATGACGGATGGGCGCCACATTTATACCGTATGATGAGCTCTATAGCCTAACGCTCTGTCTAGTTGATCTACTTTTCCTTTAGATAGCACTATTCCTATCCATAATTTGGTTGTTACCAACGTACAGCCCACCGCTAAAGTAATGTAGGGTTTTACCAATCTCAACGATTGGCTTTGACTGGCGATTGTTTAATGCGGAGTGATCGGAAAGAAGATGTCAATAGCTAAAATTGCAGCTGCAAGGGTGAAGATACATATAGGCTACATTCAAAGTTTCATTGTAGTCTGGCTAATCGTTCCTAAGCTTCAGAAGCAGAACATACCCATGACTGAAACCGCACATTACTTCTGCTGTGGACTGTACATAGTTCGCACAGTGGTGCCCTTACTACTCTAATAATATCCGTACCGTAGTGCCCTTACCCTGCCACCCTGCCCGTTTCCTCCCTCCCTGTACGCTCCTATAATTCCCTGCCCTCACCCTCACGCCTCTAACCTGCTCCGCTCGCACCAGGGGCGGCTGTCGACTCCATCTCCATACCGTGGGCGCCCATACTTCTTCCTGTCTCTCTGCCCGTACCACGGACGCCCCAATCCCCCTTCTCTTTACGCACGCACGTCTGACCGACACTGCTCACCCCCAGGGGCGGCTGTCGGCGGCCGGCCACCACGGCCGAGGTAGTCGAGGACAACTGCTGCCTCTGTAACACGGCGGCCACCCAGCGGATGGCGCCGCTGGACGAGCTCGAGCTGGTGTACGTCACCTACCATGTGGATGTCGGTGAGACGCCGTTCATGGTGGCCGTGGATCACCAGAGGTGCACGGTGATCGTCTGCATCCGAGGAACAATGTCCACTAAGGTGAGTAGGGACTCTTCATTAAAATGAGAGAATAGGGCACCGTGTCCACTAAGGTGAGAGCTAGAGAGGTGGACTGACAGTGAGACATTAGACAGACACCATGTCTACGGAAGTGAAGGGATATAATATCCTCAAAGGTGAAGCGAAGGCAAATGGGTGGTGAGTCTACCAAAGCTAGGGTTGGATGGGCAAAAATCTTGGCGACAAAGATGAACGGTGAGCCTGGATGGATGCCACGAGCGCAATGATGAGATGGTGGGCGGCACAGGTAAATTGGCACCCGGTTCTGATGGTTTTGTCGTGCGTTACCGTTGTCAAATGTCTATCGCTTCGCAACATTAGACTGTCAGCGTCTTTTCTTTTGAATGCTTTTTTACATCCGGCTGACGCTCGTGCCTGACCGAGTTTACATCACGCCTGCCACTTACACCTTCCGTCACCATTTTATCACTGTCACAGGATGTGGTCGTGATGTGCTGCTGGGTTGAGTCACCTCGCATCCTCTCGCACATGTTTTCCAGCGTTCCCAGGATGTGGTTACAGACCAAGTAAAGGCTCCAGACCATATCCAGGTACAGCCCCCATGACTGCCCAGTGTCCAAGCGCTGTTTCCAGGATGTAGTGAAGAGAATAGCCGGCCGCAACCCGTCACCGACTCTGTCCTGTTTTAACCCTCGCCCCGTTGGGGCCTGTGGTTTTTCCTGAATAGCAAGAAAACGGCGGCGCGCAGCGCCGCCAAATTTTTAGTACCTTCCCGGGCATCAATTTGACACCTTCACACCAAATTTCAAGTCTTAGGTCACCTTAGGTCCGGAGTTATTGAGGTCAAACTGAGGGCATGTTCGAGCAAAAATGAGCAAAAAACATGCAATCTTGAAACGCTCACCAAATCTACAGTTATCAAGCAATTTCAAAGTTCTTTATATGGTCTAGTAGACAAAAACCGGCGTTACAAAACTGCTATCTCGGATTTTCAAAATTTTGGGTTTTTGACCCCAAAAAAATTCAAAAAATTGATTTTTTTAGAAAAACTGAAAAGAATCCAAAATTTTTCCGAATTTCAAAAAAAACCGGAATATATGTGATAGTCCCTGCGCTCTTCTATATACATACCAAATTTCAGATCGATGTCTCGTTTTTTGGCCAAGTTATAGCGAAAAAACGGTTCAAAAATGATGACGTCAAATTTTTGAACTCAATTTTTAGCGATTCTAGACCACGTACGGCAAAACAAAGACCACCATTGAACTCCCCGTGACGAGCTGCATCGATTCGATACCCATTTTATGCAAAAATATTAACTTTGAAATTTGACCTAATTTGACCTGACCTTGACCTGACCTTGACCTGACATTGACCAAAACGTGACCTAAGCTGGCCCCAAAGGCTGCCTGACCCACATAACCGCATTTGTCATGTAAAATGGGCCATAAAACATGTATCACACGACATTTTCATATTGTGACCCCCCAGTGACCTGACCTCTGTGACCTGACCTGGTATCAGTGACCTCAAATAGCAAAATATGTGTTTGAAGAACATTTCCCCATCGATGATTTTCAATGAAATGCATTTTACTCGATTTTACAACGCATTTCTTGAAATGCCTGTAAACGGTGAAAATTGGACCTTTGACCTGACCTGTGACGTCATCGGTTTGACCTGGGTCAATAAAATTGGGTCACAAGGTAGTTCCCTGATAGGGCTATCCAACACCATTTGCCGCTTGTCGCTAGATTGAGTGGTTCTCGAAGCCCAACGGGGCGGGGCGCGGGTTAATAATATAGTGACGAATCACGTCCCGCCCCTCACCGCCATAATCCTGTTCCCAGGATGAAGTGACGAACCAAGCTTCACCGCCCAAACCCTGCTCTGTTCTCAGGACGTAGTGACGGACCTGGAGTGTGAGGGTGAGCCGATTCCGACCACTCCTCTGCGGGACGACTGGCTCGGACACAGGGTACGTGACCTACGCCAAAAGTGGTGACTATAACTTCATAATGCGCAACTGTCGCCCAAGTACCTCACTCGTATGCGTCCACTACCATGCCGTTGATTCTGGCTGGCAGTCGTCCCTGCCTGGTTTTGCAGCAGGCGACGAATGAGGCAGGTTTGAGGTTTGAGCGCTAGGCGGAGCCGAGCGGTGTGCATTGGTGAGCTGAGTGCTCGCAGTGTCATCTACCCAGTGGGCAGGAAAAGTATGGCTCTCGGTCTGGCGCTGGTATCAGCTTTGCTAAACCAGTCGATCGGGCAGTTGAACTGATGGACTAAATGCATTTGAACGTCCAACTGAGCGTGGAGACGTGTAAGACTCTTCGAGTCCACCCTCATTGACGAGCGGTGACGGTCTCTGAGTGGGCACTCACCCCACGTCTCCCCTCAGGGCATGGTGCAGACGGCCCACTACATCCGCGACAAGCTGGCCTCAGAGCGGCTGCTGGAGCGCGCCTTCTCGCGGGCGGCGGCCGGCGCGGGCGCGGGGGCGGCCAGCTACCGGCTGGTGCTGGTGGGCCATTCGCTGGGCGCTGGCACGGCCGCCATCCTGGCCATCCTGCTGCGCGACCAGTACCCGGAGCTGCGCTGCTTCGCCTACTCGCCGCCCGGCGGACTGCTCAGGTCAGAGGGCGGGGTCAGAGGAGTGAGGTCAGAGGTCTACTGCTAACTGATCCATACAGTTGGAGCGTGACCAAAGCAGAACACTATTTAGTGTCAGGGAGGCCGAAGTCAGCTGGAACTTCAAGTCGATATTTACGTGACGATAATCACATAAGCACGCAATATTCTGGTTAAACCGATTCCTTTCATGCTACACCAAGCGTGCATTGACCACTTCAAATTCGATGCCTGAGCCTACCTATTCATATTGACCTTTCTAGTATCGATTTACCGTCCCTATGTGGTGTGCCAGAGCTGCTTACACCGGCCTTTCTCCCGACTGCCGTTTTCTCCTCCCGCAGTATGCCGGCGGTGGAGTACACGAAGGAGTTCATCACCTCCGTGGTGGTGGGGAAGGACGTGGTGCCCCGCATCGGACTCCACCAGCTGGAGCAGCTGCGCTCCGACCTGATGGACGTCATCAAACACAGCAAACAGTCCAAGGTAACTGCACAGTTATTGACTGAGCGCGGTAAACGAACAGTGGAAACGGTCTGCAATAATGTCTGTCCAGCTCGCAAACTGAGCGCAGTAACCAAGTCAGCGTGAGCAGCTTATTCCATTGGGTTCGGTTCACCAGTTCAATATTTGGTAAGGGAAAATGCACAGTTTCAGTGCTAGCATTCGCTCGGCTTCCGGTCTACGTCCACTGATCTCTTCTGACCCGGCGTGGCGTGTGATAGGCGACGGTATGCCCTGCTGTGTGTGGCTACTGTCCGACGTCTGTGTCTTCTGACCACTGTTTCTCCCTTCTCAGTGGCGTGTGATCGGCGGCGGTATGTCGTGTTGCGGCTGCTGTCTGTGTTTGTATCTGACCTAGTCTGTCCCTGTGCCCTCAGTGGCGGGTTATCGGCGGCGGTATGTCGTGCTGCGGCTGCTGCTGTCTGTGTCTGCTGTCTGTCTCTGCAGATGTCTGACCTCAGTCCCCCTGTCCCTCAGTGGCGAGTGATCGGTGGCGGTATGTCGTGTTGCGGCTGCTGTCTGTGTTTGTATCTGACCTAGTCTGTCCCTGTGCCCTCAGTGGCGGGTTATCGGCGGCGGTATGTCGTGCTGCGGCTGCTGCTGTCTGTGTCTGCTGTCTGTCTCTGCAGATGTCTGACCTCAGTCCCCCTGTCCCTCAGTGGCGAGTGATCGGTGGCGGTATGTCGTGTTGCGGCTGCTGTCTGTGTTTGTATCTGACCTAGTTTGTCCCTCTGCCCTCAGTGGCGGGTTATTGGCGGCGGTATGTCGTGCTGCGGCTGCTGCTGCTCCGAGGAGGAGGCCTCCTCGGCCGCCTGCGGTGACCTGGTGCAGCGGCGGCTGGCCGGTCGGCAGCTGTCCGCCGCTCATCCGAGCGACTCGACCATCGCGCTGACCGTGCACCAGCCGCTCTACCCTCCCGGCCGGGTGATGCACATTGTGCGGCACCACCCCGAGCACCACGGCGGGTACGTAAAACACTATAACATACACCACCCCGAGCACCACGGCGGATACGTATAACACTATAACATACACCACCCCGAGTACCACGGCGGGTACGTATAACACTATAACATACACCACCCCGAGCACCACGGCGGGTACGTATAACGCCACTATAACATACACCATCCCGAGCACCACGGCGGGTACGTATAACATTATAACATACACCACCCCGAGCACCAGGGCGGGTACGTATAACACCACTATAACATGCCGGGTGATGCACATTGTGCGGCACCACCCCGAGCACCACAGCGGGTACGTATAACACCACTACAACATACACCACCCCGAGCACCACGGCGGGTACCTACGTAATACATACACCACCCCGAGCACCACGGCGGGTACCTACGTAATACATACACCACCCCGAGCACCACGGCGGGTACGTGTAACACCAACATACACCACCCCGAGTACCACGGTGGGTACGTATGACGCACACTGAACTTTACGGATACGTAGACTGTGCGCCAGTCCCGGCATCGCTGCCAGGTCAGCCGATGTTTACAATATACTACTTGTGAAATGCAATACGAATGTTGTGTTGTTTCTCTGACATATGTTGACGGATATGTCCCTGCGAAGTGTCGTGCTTTTGATATTTCTGCCGACTTCTGACGTAAGATAAGCACTATTTTACACAGTCCGCCACCGATCAGCCGTTCCTGACTCAGTGGACTCCAGTCCCTATCCCACTGTGACACAGTGACCTCCCTATCTCACAGTGACAAGAAGGTGCGCCGCGGCGAGCCGGTGTACCAGGCCATCTGGGTGGAGAACGACTCCTTTGACGAGGTGCTCATCTCGCCGGTGATGATCCAGGACCACATGCCGGACAAGGTGTTACAGGCGCTCCAGAAGGTGGGTAGACGTCCGAATCGACCGGCCTCACCACCGAGAGCGGGTGTGTAGCGCCGGGCAAACCGAGCTGTGGGCTGCTTATTGCCAGATCCGCCCCTCAAAGCTGGGTCGTGCTCACTGGGCATTGCTTGCATTGAGGGTCGTTTGCCTTGGAAGCTTGCGAAGTAGTTGATGAGACGAATAATTGTGTCGAGTTAATTACTTTTTCTAGAATGGCGAATGATTGTTAAATTTTGCATGTAGGATAGTCTGATGTTCGAAATAGATTATATCATTTCTTAATTAATTGTGAATTCTTATGTTTCTTATTGTTCTTTGATTTTCTAGCACCTTGCTGATCTCTATGTAGTTCTTTCTTTCGTAAACGGCCATGCCAGCACTATCGGTTAATCTTTGTCTCTAACCGATCTATGTGTGTCGGGTATAGCGCATGTGTGGGCTGTCGCGAGCCGACGCTCCGTGACAGGCTCCTTCGCACGCCACTGTCTGTCTATCTGTCGGCCTGTCTCTATCTCTGTCTCTGCTCTGTTTCCCGGCCAGTTTCTGGCCGCTCGTGTGGCTGCGACGGCCTTCTCCACGGCGGCAGCGCCTGCTTCGTCTCACGGCCGGCCGGTCGGCGCCGCCGACAGCTCTGGGGACCGCGACACGGGACACATCAACAGCGGAGCCAGTCAGATGGACGCTGAGACCGCTGACGTGAACTTCACGTGTGGACCGCGGCCGGAGACTGATGGTGGAACCGGTGACGGCGATCCTAACCTGCCGGCCGCTGCCGCTCGAGTCAACCCCGAGGAAGTCTCGGTCGATCTTCACGGCTGTCAGACCGCTGCGTCAGGATCACCCAGTCGGAGTGATGTTGCACCCTGCACCAAGCGGCGCGGGAGTCGAAGAGTGTCGGCTGCTGGGGCTGACTCCTCTGAACCCGGTTGGTACCGAGTGGAGACTGAGGGAGCTCCTTTACCGTCTAACCGTGGGGTGGAGCCGCCAGCGGAGTGTGGGGTGTCTGACTCTGATGCGAGGAATGAACACCCTGCCGCCGCGGACAGTGACGATAAAGAGACTGGTAACAGCGGTGAGAGTAGTGAATGGGAAAGGAGCGCTGCCGACAGTGCCAGTACCGGGAGTCCTGTAAACGGCGACCTGCCTCGGCTATCTGACGGGTCGGACTGTCAGTCTGGCCCGGACGACACTCTAAGACTGGACAATACCGAGTGTGTGGCTAAGGCGGGTGTGGAGGGGAATCAGGACCAGCCCAGACCAGTCCCTACAACCAAAGCTCCTCCACCGGACGGCGAGGAGGGCGAGCTCGACTCCGACGCCAGCAGCGAGTTGTCGGAGCTGAGCGCTGATCTGGCGGCCGAGACGGACTCGTGGCGGCGACGACAGACCGAGCGGGCCCGGCCCGGTGTGGAGTGTAGCTGGGTATGACGAGACCGGCTCTACAGACCGATCGAGGAGGAGGACCCGCCCGGAGAGATCAGGTTCGGTAGGTCGACCGGCCGGGGCTGCCGCTCAGCGCTAACGCACACGGGTAGTTTGTTTGCTTGCAGTCGATGTTGCACACGCCCTTGTTGATAAATGCTCAATTCTCATTTATCTTTATTTACTCTTCCTTGCACCTCATGATGGCATGTTCCGTATGATTTATTTGCACGTTTCAGTTATTCTTTTCACCTGCCGTAACACTTTCTTTGCACATGGAAACAGTGTATTTTCTTTTCAAATCACGCTCCATCGAAGTGTTAATCGTGGGTTGTTCGCGGTAAGCACCGCTTATCAACGTTGTTTGTCGGTAACGTATGTCTGGCTTAGGCCATTCATATGCTATGCCCTATGATAATGACCCGATCCTTCCGTACAGGTCCTGAGCTGCGTGGGTCCGGCCAAGCCGGTCCGGTCGGGGGCCAGCCATCTGCGTGGCGCCTCTGAGGAGCGGCGTCCGCTGGTGTCGTCTCCGCTGCTGGCTGCCGCCCCCGCCGCCGCCGCCGCCCCGGCCACCGTCAGCCAGCACCGGCTGCAGCTGGAGACCAGTTTCGACTGCGAGTTCGCGCCGCCGCCGCCGCCGCCTCCTCCGTTCGAGGACACGGTGTCAGTGAGCACCCTGCAGCTGGTGTGGACGGGTCGGCGGCCATGTCCGCCCACTCCGCCCATCAGTGGCTTGCCGGGCCGCGCGGGCCAGCCGGCGCCGCTGGCCTCTCCGGACACTGTGAGCGAGGCGTCCAGCTCCGGCGGCGGCAGCCTGCTGCGGGAAGTGCTGCGCGCCGCCGCGCTGCCGCGGCGCCGACCCCTCTCGGTCATCAGTCAGTCGCCGGGCGCTGACGAGCCGAGCGGCAGCGGCGGCGGCGGCGACGGCGGCTGGTCGGAGGCGACCACCCCCGAGGAGCCGCGAGACACTCTGCTGCCGCTAGAGGCGGTACCACCCGGCGGAAAACAGCGGCCCCCACAGCCGTCCGGCGACTCGGGCTTCGTCAACGGCGGCTCGTCGGCCAGCGAGCCATGGTTCGTGACGCCGCGTACTTCGGGCGCCGCCCACTTTGTGTTCCCCGGCGAGCCGGGAGCGGACTGCGAGGTGTTCCTACCGGGGGAGACGCCCGGCCGGCCGGCACCCTCGGCCGTCTGAGACAGACCGGCCGCCGCGGCCACTGCGGCACGTGCAATCCGCCCACCAGGCGACCAATATGCGCTTCAACTTCGACCAAAGAGTGAGGGTGAGTGAGCGAGAGAGGTATGTGAGGGGTGAGTGATCTGAACGGCAGAGTGCTGGGGTAGGGAGGGAGGGTCGAGCTCGACCCGGCAGGTTCTGTTGTACCTTGTCCTTTGTACTCGCGTGGTGAGCGGAGCACCCCCGTGTCGGGGGACGGACTCGGCTTTGCTCGGTGCTCCGGGCTGTCGCGTCTCCGGGTCAGCGGCGTCCGACGGCCGCCACCTGCCAGTCAGTCATATCTCCTTTTCAACTCAGTCCGCGCGCCGGCGTGTCTGCGCTGACGTCACCGCCGGTATGACGTCACCCATCGACTGTGTCTCATCATGACAGTGCGTGCGCTGTGCTAGCGATCGTGCGCTGTTGGCAAATGCCGGCGTCACTCGGCAGCCGCGCAGTGCATTTTCCACTATTCAATGGTATGAGAGTGTGTTTGTACTTGCCGCAGCCACCAGTGTGTATTTATTTCGGGAGGGGAGGGTCGTGTGTCCTGTCACCTGTGGGGTCATTGCTGAGACTGAGTGTCACACTTGGTCGAAGGGGGGGGGGGACAGAATGGGAGGGAACCTGTGCCAAAACTCAGAGCTCTCCGGGCCGGCGGGGGGTCTCGGCTTGTTGGCCGGTCGGTAAGGGGACTGAGTCGCGAGTTATAGCGATTCGATCTCCCCGTCAAACCAGATTCCCGGGCCCTCCAGCGGACCGCCGCCGGACCGCAAACCTTTCGCCATGACAGTGCGTACCAAATAAACTATTTACACAAACGACGGGCGGTGTTTGGCGCTGACTGAGGAGCTCCGGGCACAGGTGCCGTGACCTTTGACCGGAGACATTAGTTGAACTTCCACTTCGAGAAAAAAAATACTTGAAGACACACTGTTGTGTAAAGCCATCGGCTGAAAAGCGATTCTGCTGAGAGGGCGTAATACATCTGTCGTGTAACCATGTAAAAAGGCAGTTGAATGAGTTCCCAAATGTATTAAAGCGATGAATGAGATACAGACCGATGATCCCTCCACAAAGCCAGACATTCATGATCGAACATCCCGCGGACTGGGGAGCTGCTGGTCGCTCAATCTGACATGCCCGACCGCGGCAGGACCAGTCGTCGGAAACAAGGCTAGCCGGTGAACAGTGACTGGTATGCAGAGCTCACGTAATCAGCCAGAAAACTATGAAGATGGCTATTGGTTTTGATTGACGGTATTCCGTGAGACCATTTTTATGAGTCGGTTACGTCCCGCATGTCGAAAGCCATCCCCCAATGCAGAATGAGCAGCAGCGAAACATATAAAACAGACTTCATAGTTTGCAACAAACACAAGGGAAATCAACGCTAAAAGCTATGCGGGCACCGACAGGAGGCTGGAGTACGATTAGGTGCTCAGTCACACGGTGTATTCTAAGAGTAATCCATGACACACTACACAGTCAACTACAGTGCACACGACCGATAGCCCGAGAAGAGAGGATGATGTGGGAAAACGGCCTACCAAACTCTGCCAGCCGACGTCTACTGAGACCGCTAAACAGAGCGAGTGCTGGCGTCGACACTTATATCCAGAGCCCGCGGCTACAGGCTGTGAGTTCCGTCAGACACACAACGGTCACGCACAGGGCTACTTACAGTCTCGGGCTGCCGGGCCTTAGATATGACGATCATTCAGTGAATCAGGCACACATGTCGCTAACTAGCCTCTCCCCGCGCACTCATCCATCGATAAACATGGAGACCCAGCGCCGCGCCGTGCTGGAGACGCACCGACTCGGCGGGATATCGACTCGTGTGTCCGATAATCTCTCCCCAGCGGTACAGCACATACAGCGCGCGCCAGAGATCCGGATGCTAGCGAGTTTATCATCCCGGTAGCCGCTGGATAACCAGGCCCCCATCTATACACGGCTCAGCCTCGCGCGGCGCAATCACCCTCACTTGGTGCGTTTCGTGGCAGTGCCGATGTGGCACTGGTTGACCTTGGCGGCGAAGCGCAGAGAGTTGAGGGTCTCGGCGGCGCAGTCCTCGCGCGGAGACACGTTGACGAACATGAGCGTTTTGCTGTTGCCGCCCAGAGAGTGCTGCAGCAGGTGCGTGAGCTTGGAGTTTCGGAAAGGCACGTGGTCCTGCTGTAAGGCACAGACGGGGGGCGGTCAGGCGGTCTTCGCCCGGACAGGGCGAAGTTGGGTAACGAATCGATCGGAACGGACGCAGATCATATTGCACCATCCCCCGAGCAAAACTGCACCACCAAATAGGGCGCTACGAAACACCGCGCCTTTGAGCATCCCTCAACTCAAAATGCAATCATCATCACAGACAATCGTGCTAAACACCATACAACGTGTTCATAAGCATCAAACGCTGGCGCTTTGCCACAATTATGCGCTTAATTTTGCCGACGGCCCGCCACCACCCGGGCGGAGTTAGTTACCTTATTTCCCAGCGCCATGATGACGTTTCCGAGGTTGGCCAGGGACTTGTTAATGTTCTTGGTCTCGGTGAGACGGTCGCCCTGCGAGCCGGACTCTTTGAGCCGCTCTGAGCCTGCCAGGTCCACCAGGTTCAGCGACCCGTGGCAGGTCTCGGTGGTGAGCGCGTTCCGGCCCTCCATCCGCAGGGTGAACACAGAGTGTGAGCGCGACGAGTGCTCGTTGCAGTTGGTGGCGGCCACGGCGCGCTGCTGGCGGGCCCGCTCCAGCAGCGAGGCGACGTCCGCCTGCTCGGTCACCGTCACCACCTGGCCACAAGAGGGAAAGGGGACAGGTGTCAGTACGGCCTATGTATGTGAGGGAGGGCCATTCCATTCAGTCAAACTTACTACCTAGCCAGTAGCCACACGAATAGCCAGTGCGAATGGGACAATATGCCATCAAAGTAGCCACAAAAAAAACTAAATCAATGAACAGTTATCAAATGAACAACTTTCGAGCTCGCGGAGGTGTATGCCTCCTGTTCCCCGACAGAATATTTCGTTCGGATAGTTTGTGGCTAGTGGACCGAGGTCCCATGACAATCTACATCACTTCAAGCCCACCTTGAGGTTGGTGACATACACCTCCTTAGTCTTGCTGTTGAGTTTGCTGTCTTTCATGCGGATTTCGTAGTTCATCTTCTCCTTCGACGTGCTGAGCAGGTCGCGGATGGTTTCATTATAGATCTCCAGGAAGCTGGCCTCCAGTGTGTACGACCAGCCCTGGGTGACAAAACAGGAGCGGATGTTACGGACGTTACAAACACCAAGTCACCTGGCAAACGAGGAATTTCCTTGATTGCCGCCCTGGTACAATCTGCGGACCTCAGGCTCCTTATATCCATGGCCATCCATTAACTTTGGCTTAGAACTAAAAGAGAATTAGACATCACACAGAATACCTTGATGTGTTAAAAGCCAATCTCCGAGAGGTCAATTCGTTGGACCCCCCCCCCCCTCGCCGTTTGGCCCCTGATCGAGATAGAGCTTCGCGGAAAAAAGGAGCGTGCTGCCCGTAAAGAGAGAAAGCCGATGACCCCCAACTTTAAAGTCCTAGGTCATTGGTTGACCTTCTAGGTCAGGTCAATGACCCAAAAGTCGGGAAAATCGGATCTGTTAGAACGTCGTAAAGTGTGGCTGCTGTGGGGTTTTCTGGATGCTGATCACGAATATCATGTTAGCTTAGATTACAGATGATATCTTCATGCATTTAGGCCAGGTCGGGTCAAGTCAGGTCAGGTCAACCAGGGGGATTCTGCCGGGTATTCGTAGTACGTACGTATCACTGTCAACCGCCTCTGACAGATTCGTAACACGTTACATGACGTTAAGAAGTCACCAAAACTACTTCGTAAATGTTGAAATGGTTGCTAAATTCGAATTCAGCTCCAAAAACTACTCTACTACGTGTAAAACTCGAAAAAGTGAACCGAAATTATCAAAGGTCAATGACCTGACCTTACTTTCAGGTGACCTTGGCACCCACCCTAATGCATGGGACGAACATCATATCATATGTTTGAACGCTTGAAACCACGTAAAGACTGCAAACGCGTGGCTAATGCGAGCCGACATACGCCGAATCGCGATTCTGACAAAACTGGTCTCAAGAAATAGGTCACAGGTCAAAGGTCATTTAGGTCAGGAACATGAAAATTTCGGGGTAGGTGTAAAATTGATTAACTCGAAGGTACTGAAAGTTTCGTAGCGATCAGCCGCTTTTTACGCGAGTTATTTGCGAGAAAAAAAAACGTGGGAGGGGTCTGTTGTTCGAGGGGAGGGCGAGTTCCCCGTCCTTCTATGTGGGCGAGGGTCAAATCACCAATGAAAAGTTCACGTGATACAAAAAGAAACTTCCACGTTGCGCCCACACTCACTCTCTGATCTCCGTGCACAATACCTTCTCCTTGAGCGCTGCGCAGGCGTCGAATATCTGGCTGACGGCGCGCGGGATCACGCCTTGCAGTTCGTCGTCACGGCCGCCCTCCATGGTATGAGTTTTACCAGAGCCGGTCTGGCCGTACGCGAAGACGCAAACGTTGTACCCGTCTAGCGCCGACTGCGGGAGGGCGGAGCGGTGAGTTAGAGTTGAGCTTTAACGGCGTGGTGGCATCAGGGAGACTGCCACCAAACGACGGGAGGCATTTTATGACTTCTGCTGACCTCAGGGTCTGAAACTAGGTGCTAAACTGAGCAGCTAAAAGTAAACCGCATATGCACATCAAAGCAAGTATACGCCGCACGAGCTTCGCAGCTACAAGCGTGAGTTATCATGAACGAGTGCACTGTTGAATCCTTCCCTTCCCAGCGACTTCACTGGCCGTGCCGATACCTCTATCAGCCGTGATAGCGCCTCACCTGGATCAGCTGCGAGATCTCCTCGAAGACGTCCGCCTGCGACGTCTCCGGCGGGAAGACGCGGTCGAACGCAAAGTTCACCTTGCCGTCACCCTCCTCCCGGCGGCGGCCGCTCATGGTCTCGTTGGCACCGGCACCTGACGGACGACATGCCGTCAGTCGGGGCGGACGCGACGGGGCATAGCAAACCAGACCACAAATTGACCACCATAGAACAGTGAATAACCTTGAAAGTAAGTTAAGTCAGAAGACAAACATGTTGCACCGCTGCGGTCTGTAGCGCCGTAGCAGCGACATATAAAATGGGGTGCATGAATCAATCAGCACACACATAGCCCACATCACACATGACTGACTGGCAAACAGCCACGCTAGCCTGCTCGTCATGACTGACCTGCCGCCTTGCCGATCTCCAGCGAGCGCTCGTCGGTGACCTGCAGGTGCGGGATCTGTCCGCCGGCCTGGGTCACCTCCTCGCCCAGCAGCGGCCGGACGCGGCAGAACACGCGTATGTTGCCCTTGAGCTCCTGCACCTGGTTGTGCAGCTGTCGGCGCAGGGTCTCCTCGCGTCGGGCGCGGGCCTCCAGCTCTGCCACGGTGGCGTCCCGCTGCCGCAGCGTGGCCTCCAGCTGGTCGCGGGCGGCCGTCAGCTGCTGGACGGTCAGCTGGGCAGCCGACAGCTGCGCGCCCACCGTGGCCTGGGCAGCCGTCAGCTGGGCCACTGACGACTGACGGACAGAGGCGGCGGTCAGACCGACGCTGAGATCGGCGACAGTCACGTGGGACGTAGTTAAATAATGGGTCACTGACCATTACAGCAGGCAGCACTCATGGACAGAGCAAACGCAAACTCACAAATTGAACCCAACCCATCAATCACGAGAAGACCCACCCCGCTCGCCAGATCCCCCCCCCCCCCCGGCGCCATTCTCACCCGTAGTGCGTCAGCCTCGTCCGTTTTGGCCTGGAGCTCGGCCTGCAGAGAAGTGAGCCGGCGCTGCAGGGCGGCCCGCTGCGTCTCCGAGTCCTCTCGCTGCGCCTCCAGCTCGGAGAGGCGCCGCTGCAGCTGGCGCCGCTCCGACTCCCACTGGTCCTCGCGGTCCTGCAGCTGGCGCGAGACGCGCTGTGCCTCCGACTGCACCTCGGCAGTGATGGTCTCCTTCTCGCGGACACCCTGCTCCAGCTGCTGCTTCTCCTCCTCCATCCTGTTGGGGGGTCGGTGGAGATGTTACCGAGAGTCGTGTGTCGGTAGAGATGTTACCGGGAGTTGTGTGTAGGTGGAGTTGTTACCGGTAGTTGTGTGTAGGTGGAGTTGTTACCGGTAGTTGTGTGGGAGTGGAGTTGTTACCGGTAGTTGTGTGGGGGTGGAGATGTTACCGGGAGTCGTGTGGGGTGGAGATGTTACCGGGAGTTGTGTGTAGGTGGAGTTGTTACCGGGAGTTGTGTGTAGGTGGAGTTGTTACCGGTAGTTGTGTGTAGGTGGAGTTGTTACCGGTAGTTGTGTGTAGGTGGAGTTGTTACCGGTAGTTGTGTGTAGGTGGAGTTGTTACCGGTAGTTGTGTGGGAGTGGAGTTGTTACCGGTAGTTGTGTGGGGGTGGAGATGTTACCGGGAGTCGTGTGGGGTGGAGATGTTACCGGGAGTTGTGTGTAGGTGGAGTTGTTACCGGGAGTTGTGTGTAGGTGGAGATGTTCCCGGGAGTCGTGTGGAGATGGAGATGTTCCCGGGAGTCGTGTGGAGATGGAGATGTTCCCGGGAGTCGTATGGGGGTAGAGATGTTACGGGGAGTCGTATGGGAATTCGGACAGTGGATGCACACCAAGACACTGAGCTGCGGAGCACGGTAGAAATAATCGTACGAACACAGACCACAACACAGAGGAATAGCGTCACAGTTTTAAGTGTTTGTCATAATTAAGAATAAAGCTTGACAAATATGTATGTATTGTTACGTCAATCATCTGACCTAAGTCCGAACCGGCCCCGTCATCAATATCGCTCCCAGACGCCCTCAGCCCGCCACGCACCTGGAGACGCGCTCCTGTGTCAGCTGCAGCTGCTCCATCAGCTCTCGGTGACGGGCGTCCATGTCCTGGATCTGGCCCTTCAGGTCCCACGGCTGCCGCTTCGTCGCCGGCTTCGGCGTCGGCTTGGCGGCGCCCGGACGGCCGCCCACTGGTGACGGGTGGGGGTTTGAAAAGGTTAGAACATATTATAATGAGCTCAGGTAGGCTATGCTACAGCAGGTCACAGGCAGGACAGAAAGCCATTAAACACTACTGTTGAAACGGTTAGGAATCACGGTTAACGCACACAAGTACACAACCAATAGTCACTCATATAAATTAAATTACATTAACTTTGATGGCTGGCATCTTTTTTCACACAGACATTTGAGAAAAACGAATGCATCCATATGCCTTACCGCCTTGCCAATGTTTGAAACCGGTATCATCGATGCTTTATCAGACTGGAATATGATAAAAGTCGGTACATTAAGCGGAGGACGGATCAGAACTCACCTGTGCCGGCGGCCTTCACGTTATTACGGGAGACGACTCGGGAAGTGACGTCCCTCATGGGCCGTCCGGCCGGCGTGCTGAGGTTGGCCACCGACTTGGAGCGGATCAGGCCCGGGTTGGCCGGCGGACGCATCGAGCCCGCGCGCGGAGGACGACCCGTGGAGGAGCCGTCCGAACCTGGGGGCGTCCACGAGCACCGGTCAGATATGGCAACGAGATGCAGCGGGAACTCGGAGCGGGTCAGCTGTGTGTAAGGAACCAGGTGCACTGATGCGACACCCTGAGAGACATTAACTCTCCAGTGACAATTATACCTATCATTTACTTTTAAGCAATCGGAATGGGACCGACACACCCACTCATATCTCATTCATCAATCATTGACATTCAAATCAGCAGCCTCAACCTTTGAATTCGCCGGCCGTGCTACTCACTTCCGGAGGTGTCCAGACGACCCCGCTTGGTCGCCATCGACGACTGCGAGGCCTGCCGTTTCAGGGCGGCCGCGCCGCCGGCGGTGGCCGGGGTAGCACGGGGTGTGGGGCGCACGATCCCGGAGGCTGCCGTCAGCCGAGAGGTGCCGGCCACCGGCAGCCGAGACGACGGAGTCGGCAGGCGGCTCATCGTGACCTCAACCTGCCGCAGGCGGAATCGCGTTATGGGCGCTCAGTCGGGAGTTTGGAGGAATGCTGCAAGGCTCGTTACAATCCTGCAAAATGCTTGCAACTGCAATTACATCTCGAGCAAAAAAGGGCTTCTTATCTAGACTGAGATTTGTGTCAAGGCTGCGTCAGTGACACAGCTCGTACGCCGTACGAGATTGAGATGGGGTAGCGAGATAGTTTCAAGCAGATAAATGGCTTAACGATGATGCATTTATCAAGCATACTTATCATCAATTCTTACCAAATGAAATTATCAGGGAAGACACACCACTGCTATTAAAATCGGTTCAAAAACCTAACGCCGGCACGACATCCAAACGCACGCACACACAAACACACGGAGAGCTCAACGGAAAACATTCAAATTTCGTACTTCAGTTTTGTATATTTTTATGAAGTAATATTAAAATGATATGACGTACATACACAGTCGAACTTTTTTGTTGCATAAATTATGTTGATAAGAGCCTTTTTACACTATAAAATATTTTTTTTGTATACATTTATTACATAAATATGGTAAAAAGGAGATACCGCTCTACCAAACACAAAATATTTGCAGATGACGTCATATATGTAGAAGATAACTCTTGGAAAATTTATCAAGAACTATATTTTTTGCAAGAATCAGGAACTTCAAAAAATATTGCAGCACGTGTGTTTTGTGTAGTGTGTGAGGCACGTTGAGGGTTCTTTGTTTTTGTATTATATTTGTATCCTTTGTCGTTGGAATGCAACGGATGGGTGCTCCTTTCAAAACATGTGGACGTAAGTTACTATGATATAAGCATGAGGTGGTGTTACATAATTTACAGCTAGCCCAGAGATAACTTGCTTTTTTAAATTCAACTACCTACCGACCAGCTTTTTCAATTATTACCTTCAATTCAATCATGACTTCCTCAACATTCACTTAAAAAGATGTTGCTAAATTGATTTGCCTGTTTTGTTTTGATATTAATTTAGCCTAGTACAGATTCAAGCAAATGGAATTGACCAAGGGCTCGGTCACGACCTGATGGACGATGGTTGGGGGGGGGATGAAGATTTGAAGTCAATTCTTTCCATGCAACACCCATAGGTGTAATGTTAAAAATGTAAAATATTGGGGGGACACGTCACCCTCCCCATCACCCCCCCCCCCCTCCCCCCGGTCGGTAGCGGCGGAACACCTTTAATTAGGGGGAGGCACTGCCGACTTTTGGTCCCATTCTTTCCATGCAATGCCCATAGGGCTAATGTTAAAATGACAAAATCAAAGGGGGAACAGTGCCCTCCCCATTCCGCCACCTATGCCCCCAGTCGCAGAGCCCTTGGAATTGACGAGAACAGGATATTGTGCCATTTTTCCCAGAACAAGAAAATGAAAGCTAGTCAATTTGGTAGATCCCAACAGCTGAGAATAGTAAAGAAATAAAGTTGATGGATGAATGTGTGGTGCTTTGGCCCTGGTTACCACACCAACCTGTGCTTATGAATGACGCCACAGTCTACAGACCGTCTGCAGCCCTTGCCCATGTTGGGTACACCAGTGATTATTTCAATGGAAAGTTTAACAAATCAGATAGGTGGTAATATGATGTTCTGTCAGCTGATTATAGAAATGCAGGTCAAACAATGTGTAGCTTCCCAGTTGCAAACTCGCTGTTACTGGGTTATGAGACAGACACTTGATTCAACAGGCCACAAGGTCAAGGATGTATTGCCTTTGCCCTTTATTGTCAGTTTCATATAGCCATCTATTTTCAGGAGAGTGAGACATTTTCTCACTGCATCCAGAGCACATCATGTACGATCTCCAAGTAAATCCACTACATGTGAAAATTCACAGTCAGACTTTCATAGATCATTCTCCACTTACAAGCTATGCAGCTCTCCTAAGGAATGCACAAGTCCTATCTCAGTGGCTGGGTTGCTGGAGCAGATCAGTTACATTGGAGGAATGGTGCAGCTTCAAAGGCATGTCCACATGGCAGCAAGTCTTCATGCGCAGGTAATCCAGCAAAATCTCCCCGTCAGCGTGGATGAAGTGAAGATCAGGAATGTGCTGAAGGCAAACAATGTGGCATTTGAGCTGGGCTACACCTGTTTTATCATGGACTGCATTTTCTGCAAGCACAAGAAGGCAGGCAGAAAATCTGATGGAGAGAAAATGTATGTGAACATTATTACAGGTAAGAATATTATGCCTAATACCATTTTTCTCAGCAATTTGCAATAAATTTATATTCTTACCAAGTGGAGTTATTGTGAGGTAACAGCGAGTATTACAAATCAACAGAGAGCAATACAGCCTTTTAGAGAGTTGTTGTCAAAAGTACAACCCTGCTTCTTCAATCTGAGTTCTGTGCAATATTTATATTCTTTTTTCATTTGGGTGTGAAATCAGAGATCACAGTTACCTGCCTGTCCATCCTTATTGATGCAGCATCATCAGCGCTCCACCTAAGGCCCTTGCAGACTGCAGGGACCCCGTTGTCTGTTGTCCGCCGGCGGGCCTGTGTCCGTACCCCTGCTGACCCGTGCCTCTGTGGTTCCCCTCCCGCTGACCTGTGGCAGGCTCGTTTGTGTGCCACCAGTGTGGCCGGAGCGGCAGCTGGGCGCAGCTGGAGGACCATCTGAGTCTGCGGCGGCCCGGCGCCGGCCGCAAGGCCGCCCGTCTGCCGCCGGCCGCCGCTGAGGAGCCGCCGCCGCCGCCGGCCGCCGTCACCCGCCTCTGGGAGGCAGCCCAGCCGGCAGAGTCCCTGGAGCAGACCGCGCTGCAGCCGGCGCTGGAGCGGCTCGGACTGCGGGTGAGACGGGGTGGAGGTCAGAGCGATCACGGCTGGCAGTTAGACAGTTAGACGGACGGCGGATATCAGAGTGGTGACAGGGGAACGGACTGCAGCTGCCCGCTGCTTATTATATTGCACAGGGTACTGAATTCGTAATCCTTGCAATAAGATACGAGAACTTGTCTTTTTGCATTGTGACAGACCATTCTTTTTCATCGCAACGCCGCTGTACCCCTGGATTTAAACGGACAGATTATGCAGTTAACTATTCCCTAACTAAAGACTTACTTAAATGTGTCTTCGTTGTAAGTTGTAACCCATCTCTCCTTTCTCCACACAACCCGCTGCCTTGCAAGATACCGGCGCGACTTGCTGACTCCCCATATCCATCCCCACTTGTCACAGTGCAACAGATGGACCAACTGACGCCCCCACCCTACCCTCTGTGGGTAACAACTTGACCGACCGACTCTCCCACCCACCCCTCGCGCTGCAGGGTATCAGCGCGGACACTTTGCGCCGGTTCGAGGCGCGTCTGACGGCCGACGGCGGCCTGGCAGTACCTCTGCGGAGACCCGACGGCTCTCTGGCCGGGGTACGCCTGCTGGCGGCGGCCGGCACTGAGCGCACGCTGCCGCCCGGACTGCCGCTGCCGGCCGGCGCGGGCACCGTGCGCGGTCGCGACTACGCCGTGCTCACCGCGCGGCTGGTGGACGCGCTGGCCATCAGCGAGAAGGCCCGCCAGCCCGTGCTGGCACTGCCCAACGGTGAGCGACAGACGTATTAATAGAGGTCACACTCTACATAATTGTATATCACCGGTTAAAAGTAATATATCCCTCGCCCGTATTGGTGTTTTTCCAGCCGCGAACGTATAAGGGGTGGGGTCCGTTGGACCCCCCCCCCCTTGCCGTTTCGCCCCTGATCGAGCTAGAGCTTCGCGGAAAAAACGAGCGTATTGCCCGGGACGAGAGGAAGCCGAAGATTCCCAATTTTAAGGTCCTAGGTCATCGGTTGACCTTCCAGGTCAGGTCAATGACCCAAAAGTCGGGACTTTCGGGACCTGTTAGAATGTCGTAAAGTGTGGCTGTTATGGGGGTTTTCGGGGTGCTGATCACGAATATCATGTTAGTTTTGATCACAGATGATGTCTTCATGCATTTAGGCCAGGTCGGGTCAGGTCAGGTCAAGTCAACCAGTAGGGGTCCTGACGGGTATTCGTAGTAGGTGTCAACTGCCTCTGACAGCTTCGTAATTACGAAGGCACCAAAACTACATCGTAAACGTTCATATGGTTGTTAAATTCGAATTCAGCTCCAAAAACTGGCCTAGAAACATGTAAAACTCGAAAAAGTGAACCGAGGTCATCAAAGGTCAGTGACCTGACCTGGCCTTCAGGTGACCTTGACACCCACCCTAATGCATGGGACCAACATCATTTCAGATGTTTGAACGCTTGAAACCACGAAAAGACTGCAAACGCGCCGCTAATGCGAGCTGACATACGCCGAATCGCCATTCCGGCCAAACATGGTCTCGAAAAGTAGGTCACAGGTCAAAGGTCATTTGGGTCAGGGTCATGAAATTTTCAGGGTAGGTGTAAATTTGATCAACCCGAGGGTACTGAAAGTTTCGTCGCGATCGGCCGCTTTTTACGCGAGTTATTCACGAAAAACCGAGAGGGGGTCCGTTCGACCCCCCCCCCCCCCCTATACGGGCAAGGGATATTTCATGGTTACCCCAGTTTTGTCCATCGAAAGCACTGCGCTTATGCTGTAGGACATTCATGGGTATGCCGGATCTTTGGATTGTGCGACGCAGTAGGTGGCGTCGTGGTCGTACCTCGTCTCTCTTCGTTACTCTTCCTGCCCCGTTGAGTCTCAGCGGGCAGCATCGCTCCAGCCCCTCTCTGGCCTCGCTCCCCGTGTTTCTCCTGTCACCATCCCGCCTCATCTGTCCGTCAGGCAGCAGCAGCCTGCTGTACTCCCCGTGTACCTCCCGTCACCGTCCCTCCCCCATTCATCCACCAGGCAGCAGCAGCCTGCCGCCGGAGCTGCTTCCGCACCTGGAGCGGTTCCAGCGGCTCACTCTCTGGTTTCCTGACGACGTGGTCAGCTGGTACGCCGTGCGGGTGTTTGCGCGGAAACTGGCTGAACGGCGCTGCTTCACCGTCAGGTTAGTGTCTGTGGGAAGCGGGGGTGAACTAGTGGTTGGGGTCCTAGTGCGGTCCGGTGACCCTGTGTTCCGACAATCAGGTGGTTATGGTCTCTGTTCGATCCGTGGCCTGATTGTCCTGTCATGTTTTCATGTTGTTGTGGCTCCCTTGGTAAATGTGTCGTTACCGTGCTGGGGTTTGCAGGGTGCTACGCACTTTGAAGTTTGATGTTACAGGAATAGAGCTCAAAGCATCATAATCGACTCTAAATATACGCAATTTGGCTTTGTATTGACGAATAATATATTGATTTTTTTCTGCCACGTTAGCAGGAACTAGAATAGCAGTGATATCTGGATATCATTACTGCCGCACGTTCCTCTCGTATGTATCGTGTACGTCAGTGTATTTTCCGTCTCTCAGGCCGTCCTCGGAGCACGGCCCTCCTCTCCAGGCGCTGCAGGCGGGCGTCTCGCTGACCCGCGCCCTGGAGGCGGCCGCCCCTCTCTACCACAACGCCATCACCACGTTCTCAGCACTGCGGCAGCACGTCTTCGAGGAGATCTCAAACGCCAATCAGGTACCGGTCCTGGCCGGCCGGCCGATGGGTGTGGGTGGATGACGTGGTTGGGCACCTGACGAGACGTCTCTCTGTAAGAGAGACAAGTCCGAAGTCCTGAGACGTCAAAGTCATAGTCCTGGTGCGAGTTGCGTGTATATTTGCTCAGAGCTCACCGGGAAACTGGTTTGTGGCGCTGTTTCACACTTACGAGACCTCTTTATTGGCGTCTGTGACTCTTTCGCCTACTGATCAGTCTACCAGCCCATCTTTTGCCTGGTTCATATTGTAATTTACGGACGTAAATGCACCATGGTTTGGTCTCCTTTATTTCTCTCAGCTGTTGGCCGGTACAAAGTAGTTGCCTCGTGCCTCCAGTTTTTACCGTCTCCCCCGTCCTCAGGTGGCCGGCGTGTATTGGAAGCGGTTGGCAGTTCCACTGTCGCTGTTAGTCGCTGACTCCCCCTCCCTCCCCCGACCGTTCCTCAGGTGGACGATGTGTAGTATTTGACCCGTGCCTCCCCCAGTCGCTGACCCCCCCCCCCCTTTCCGTTCCTCAGGTGGCCGGCGTGCAGTGGAAGCGGTTCCCGGCGCTGAACCGGCTGCTGCGCGGCCACCGGCGCGGCGAGCTGACCGTCGTCTCGGGACCCACCGGCGCCGGGAAGACCACATTCATCAGCGAGTACTCGCTCGATCTCTGCATGCAGGGGGTGAGTAGAAGAGTGCGGCGTTAGCCCTCCTGTCCTGTCCTGTCCTGCTCTGACTGCTCAGTGGTCATCGCCCTGTCCTGTCCTGTCCTGTCCTTACTGCTCAGTGCTCATTGCTCACCGTCCTGTCCTCGCCCTCTGAATCCGCTCCTCTGAATGCAGGAGGTGAGCCGACAGACTAGCCCGCCGCGCCAGCCATCTGTCCTGTCCTGTCCTGACTGCTTAGTGCCCACCGTACCGTCCTGTCGAAGCCTGAATCCGCTCCTCTGTCGGAGGTGAGAACTCGTTGGCGTCTGTCAGCGTCTGTACTCTCTGCTCTACCGTCACTACAGGAAAATTATTATTCCAATATGAACGACATTTGTCTGTACATTTCCTCCACTGTTGCAGCTAAAATGCGGCTGTTAATGGACAGTGAAAATTTTTAATATCCGTTAGCTGGGCGTGCCCTTTTTTAGTAGTGCGACTCATGCGATCACTCTGTCTCTGACCGACCAGTGGTCTGTCGCCACCAGGTGAACACGCTCTGGGGCAGTTTCGAGATCAACAACACGCGCCTGGCCAAGGTGATGCTGCACCAGCTGGCCAACTGTGCGCTCGACAAACACATCGACAGGTTCGACCAGGTACGCCGCCAGCAGGGGATACGGAACGATACTGAACGCGTGGACAGTCGGAACCAGTGGGAACTGTACTGGAGTGCTGCTTTACTCAGAAGGGTCTGTCTAGCAGTCAAACTTAGCCGCTGATGCTTCTATTTATCTTTATCTTGATTGCATGTATTGTATATCAATCAGTCCTTATCTCAAGATAAAATGTCTTATTAGTGATGTAGTGCTCGCAGTGCCTGATGTTTCATTTTATGAACACGTCCAGGCTATTCTTTCGTAACGCCCTAGTTCCGTCGTCTGTTTGTAGCGTCCGATATTAATAGTCCAGAGTTTGGCTGACTCATACCCCTTTCTTTCCAGGCGGCCGACGAGTTTGAAAAGCTGCCCATGTGGTTCATGACGTTTCACGGCCAGCAGAGCATACCCCACGTGCTGGACGTAAGTGCTAGGTGGACGGAGGGAAGGGGGGTACAGGGGTGTGTGGCATAAACTGGTCAGCCGAGACTCTCATTCATCAAAACTATGTTGTGAAAAGCTAACAACCATGGGGTGATTCTCTGAGTATGGAAACGTTTATTTAGGTACCCTGAGGCCTAAAAGGTTTAAAACACGGTATAATATGTGATGTTTACAATTTATCAGCGCCAAACTCGCACCAAAGCACTACTTCTCCGCAAGTCACTGACGAGTCTTGCTCGTAAACTTTGATAAGAGACGCCTCATCTAATCCACGGTCTATTACGCATCAAAGCCATCTCTAGTCCATCATCTAATGCATCTCAAATCAAGCATCTAATCCATCCTGTAATTCACGATTGGCGTGCTATGAAGTCAGATAACTGAGGTTCTGACCTGCTCCCCGCCCTCGCAGGCCATGTCGCACGCGGCGTACGTGCACGATATCGGCCACGTGGTGCTGGACAACCTGCAGTTTATGATGGGTGCCGGTGAGCGCGGCATGGACCGCTTCTTCGAGCAGGATGCCGTCATCAGCCGGTTCCGACGGTTCGCCACCATGAAAAACTGCCACGTCACGCTGGTCATACACCCAAGGAAGGTGAGACGAGGGCTTTCTCAGAAATCTGGCGGCCAGATGGCGGGAGAAGAGTCTCTGTTTTCTTGCGTGCGATCTGAAGACATGTAGTTGGTAGAAAGGATCTTGCGGTCAGTATTTACTGCGAGGTAGGACATAATACATCAAGCATTGTGATGTGCTTGCTGTGATTCGTGACTGAAATGAATTTTCTTTCCAACTTTCAAGTCCCACCTGTGTAGCAAAACCGTGTGGCTGGGTACGAGGCATTGGGCGGGGGTCGATTGGAGGTGCTGACGGTCCGTCGATGCACTGCCGCCCACACCGCACTCGACTGCCCTCTCTCCGCGGTACAGGAGCGGTCGGACGAGGAGCTGGGCCTGGCCTCGGTGTTTGGCGGGGCGCGCGCCACACAGGAGGCCGACAACGTGCTCATCATGCAGGTCCTGAGAACCGGCGACACCCAGAGGAAGTACATTCAGGTGAGCCGCACTGCAGACGGCTAGTCTCTGTTACATATTTAGAGACGGTTGGATCGTTTTTATAATGGATATTGTACTAATTTGCGCGTCACGTTCTTGGCTCCTCACCGGCCTGGTCCTGCTTGCCAATATGATGCCGTTAGGCAGGCTCATTGGCGCAGTTGTGTATTATCCATTGATTTCAATGGCTGACCCGTGGTAGCGTAGCACCACCCGAATTCTCACGCAGCCGGTTGCTTTTTGTTGGTATGATGCTTCATCATTCTGATCTGTCCCTCGTCCGACAGGTTCTGAAGAACCGGTTCAGTGGAGACCTGGGCCCGATGCCGCTTCACTTCAACAAGGACTCTCTCAGCTTCGTCGTCAAGAGGAAGAAAAGGGTGTCGGAGTCCGAGCCGCCGGCCAAGGACCATCCGGAGTCGCGAGGCTCGGACTCGACCGTCAGACAGAGGGTAAAACCCGCGGCGGCGACACAGACGCGGCAGACGGCCGCTGCGCCCGAGCCGCCGGGTGAAGACCCGGCTCCTGAGTAGGATGGTGGACCCGCCTGCCAGAGTCGATAGAGTTGATCGAAGTACGGGTCAACAGGGGCGGGCCGACCGCCGTCCGCCGGCCCTAGTGCTGTGATCTCTGAACACACTGTGCCATCTCATCAGCCCGGTACTCAGTCTCTGTGACTAGGAATTTGCCAGTCTGTGCCTGACTGGGCAGCACCAGTCGGCAGCCTGTGACTGCTTGGCTGGGTCGCGTTGACTGAAGCCAGTCCAGTCGTCAGTACCTGACCCGGGCAGCTGCCCGGCGGACCTGTTCCATTGTTACTGTCCGCCAGTCACTGTCGCAGCTGCCCTGAATACAGAGCTTCACTTTTTAGCCTGAATTTTATCGATTCCAGTGACGCTACATCTAATAATATAGACGAAATCAGCGTGGTTTTCTAACTTCAGTAAAGCTTGGCACGAAAAGGCTAAAGTAACTGGTAGTGAAAGAAAAACATGGACCGAGAAATGAGTAAAATTTACCATATAGCTAAAAGTCAGAGTATGAGAAGTGTTATAGGTAGGTCTGGCATCACCGCCACAGCTCCGTTCCTGACAGTAACTCTCGCCGGTTGGCTCTCCGTGCGTTTATTCGGCGCCAGGCAGAGGAACCGTGCGTTTATCCGCGCCGTCCCTCTGGTGCCAACAGCCGGGAAAGTCTCGGAGTGCGTGTTTATTTGGGCGTTCGACTGCCGGGCGTGGCGCTCCGCCCGGCCCAGTCAGTGTTAGCAGGCCCCGTAGAGACAGACACCGCGACGCACAGCGAGATACACACAGTGACTGAGAGCAATCAGATGCCAGAGAAAGACTCGGTCACGCGAATAGCTGATTAGCCCAGCGTAAAGGAACCACCACTGCGACAGTAGCAAAAAAAGCTCCGGTGCTGCCTTCCGGTATTAACACGGCTGCCCAAAATAGTAACACTTCGATAACAGCTGTACGCTCCTATGAATACACACTGATTTGTAATAGTCTGTAACAGTCGATCATTTACGGTACTGCGAGAAGCGGGACGCGCCCGGAGAGTCACGGTGGTCACAACGCCGTCAGTGGGACGTCAAAATGCAACAGCCGCCGGCCCGAAGGACGGTTCATAGGCCGGCGGCCGTCCAGTGTTTACGACGGTCACCATGTCAGTCCAGTTCAGACCACAGCTGCAGACACAGAGAGACGACAGAGGCACATAATGCTGACCCCGCCCACCCTCAGCGGTCGCGGGCGCTGGCGGATAATCCCGATCCTCGGCAACACATTTCAGCCCGTCCGCAGCACGGATACACGAACTCCTGACACCACTGCCAGCCCGGGGCGCGCTCCGCGCCAGGCCGGCTAGCCCGCGACGACCACACTCGGTTAGACGGCCGGACGATCGGCTGGCTTCCACGGCGCTACCAGCGTCAGCCGGTACTTTGGCGAGTCGCCGCGGGAGCGGACGGACCGATCCGCCCCACGGGCTACGACAGACACGTATGATAGAGTGACTACACTGTCGCGGACTGTCAGATACGTCCCCAGACGTATTCGACGAATTCGAGTGCCACTCAGAAGGCCGTATCCCGACGGTGTAGAGGACACTGACACTGTACGCGGGCTCTCGCCAGTCAGACTTTCGGTGGGCGATCTGGCGCAGTGAATAGTCGGCCAGCACGCCTTGTCGGCTGACGCAAATAAGCTGTAGTTGTCGCCGCCGCCGCTGGGTGGCAGCACGTTTACCGTCGGTACTTGCCGAGGAAGGCCTTGCAGTTGGGGCAGCTGTGCTCCTTATCCATACATTCGTCCATGCAGCAGGGAATCAGGCAGCAGCCCATCCAGCAACTGGGGAGGGGGAAGATAAGATCAGATCCACTCATGGATCAGGCAGCAGCCGAATAAGCAGCTACGGAGGAACTCAGGCTGAGGGTGCCGTGGATCGTACGGCATTACTCTCAAGCTCTAGCTGCTGGCGGGCTTCTGCAACATGGTATCAGCTATAAAAAACATAATCAAATCAAGAAGAAAAATAGTGTCAAACGTAAGCGACCGAATCATTCCACTTCTTCCATCAACGCTTAATTTGATCGATGACACAAACCGTGGGGTCATCGGCATCACGGTTCGTGTCATCGATGTCGATCAATCCTCAATCAACAGCAATTAACAGAGCAAGGCCCCAAGCTGCGCCCGCCGAGCCCCACTCACCCGAAGAGCGCGATGAGCGCGCCAGAGAGCCAGGCCATGGTGGAGGGCGACGTTTTGACGGTGGACTCGATCTCGGCGTGGCAGTGCGGACAGATCATGTGCGTGGGGTTGGGGCCCGGCGGCACCACGGTCGTCACCACCGGCACGTGCACCTGGTGCGCCGCCACTGGAAGGGGGACAGACGGGAGGGGAGGTCAGAGGGGTCACAGACTGATAGCATACCACAGAGCACTCAAATCGCTGCGGTCAATGAACCAATGAACCGACCGTCAACCGACCGACCAATGAACGAGAATTCAGACAGCATAGCATGCATCAGTATTCAGGCAAAGCTTCTCAAACAAGTCTATCTGCTTTGAGCTAATTCTGAGCTGCCGATAAACAGCAAGCAACTTTAAATTACATCCAAACACGGAACTACTGCGAAGCGATGCATCAATGACAGATCGATCTTTGCGCGACCCCAGACTCCCTTTGACGTTTAAACCCATCTCTCGGAGCACAGCCATGCAGGCGGAGGGGAGGAGAGGGGGGACGGGTCACCCACCGTATCCATACTGCTGCTGCTGCGGGGCCACGTACTGGACCGAGGTGTCGGCAGGGAACACCACTGCCTCCTCGCGCACGAAGGTGGCCGCTGGACCACCAGCCAGCCAGGCAGGCGAGAGAGAGAGGCAGAGACAGGCAGAGACAGACAGGCAGTTAGAGGTGCGATAGTAACGAGGCACGGTCAGCGTGTTAGTGAGAGGCGGAGAGAGGCAGTCCGTCACCGCGTGCAGTTATAGAAAAGAGGTGAGCGTTACGGCAGGCAGGCAGCGGGCACAGGAGCACAACAAAGAGTTCGGCAAAAAGAGGTATTCGAGACACGCATCCGCAGCTATCGTAATTACATATTTATGATTGCAGTCAATAAGAAGCATGAATTCCTCGAAAAATGTTAGGTCTGAAATTGTGAAAAATATGTCTTATCCGAAAAACAAGACAGACTGAAATTGTTTCCATTGCAAGTATGAAATGAAATTGAAGCCGCACTGAACTAAAATCGCCATCGCAGATTTTGTCACCAGCGCAGCGCAGAACAGGATCAACCCGCGTCAGACAGTTCGTGGCCCTGCCACACAGGTGTCTGACTCGACCGGTGTACAGGCACGCCCACGGTGGACACATCTGAACCTTTTCAAAGTCTCTTCTGCCACAGGCTCCGATCCTTTACTTAACATCGTGACAAAACCATCCATCCTAAAAGCCACGGCTATTTTCGGCTGTCGCGTCCAGGGAATAAAGAACATCGTCGTGTCATCTGAAGATGTCGCCGTGATTAGTGGATCGTCCGTCCGCGGCCATACAGTTTCACAACATCACCGCCATCACAACAAACAGTGCTGCAGGTAACGTATACGTGCAATTCACCTGTCATAATACATGTAAGCGAGCGATGAACTTCCCGTCATTGTAAAAAGCAAAGGGACCGGAACGACGGGACGCTGATCCGTGTCGAGCCGGAACCGAGTGAAGGCTCTATTAATAGCCGTTATGTAATATCGCAGCCAGCAAATAACCCGATCGACATTCCACAATGTCAATCTGACTTGGAATTGCGAGCGTTATTGACAAAGTCCTTGTTACCAAGGCAATTTGACCGAGCAAAAAAAAAAAGATCGCCGATGAATCACGAACTGATTTTTCATTAGCCGGCGGAAGTTAGAGACAAACATGCGGAAAGTTACCAGACGGCAGACTGGTACGTTTCTCAGTCTCCTCAATGGACGAATGCTATCAGAGTTTCCCGGAAAACTGAGTCTCGTCTTAATAACCAAAAGTTCGCCATAAATATGTCAACATATATCATAACAAACTGTAACCTTGTGTAGCTACCTGCGTATCTGTACCAAAGTCACTCCAATTTGCCCTTGCTAGCCCATCGTAGGTATTCGCAGATCCACTCAACGCCGCACGGCCGATCTGACACGGACAGCCCTCATCACTCACCCCGCCCCTACCCCAGCTCCCCTCCTCTACCCCTTGTGAGAGTTGTGTCCAGTGCCACTAGGTGGCTCTTCGATCGGTATAGGGTTCGGGCGCTCGGGCAATACAGTTATCTCTGAGTGACCGAGGCGTGTGTGTCTCTGCGTGCGCGGGAGCCGAGTCGGACTCGCACATGGCGCAGCCTGCAGGGTCCAACCCCGATGGGGTCTCCGGTGTTTCGGGCGCTGTAGCGCTACCAGGACAGTGGCTCGGCAAGCTGACTCAGCCGGATAAGTTGGACTTAGCAGTGGATCGAGGAGCTACATTCAGAGCATGGAAGACTCGGTGGACGGATTTTTGCACGCTATCTGGTCTGCCGTCCCAGCCAGTTGCGGTGCAGATGGCAATGTTGCGTTCATGTCTATCGGATGACACCATTCGTATAGTCGAGAACATGGGACTATCGCAGGCTGAAAGTTCAAACTTGGATGTCATACTCGAGCGCCTGGAACGGCATGCTATTGGACAGGTGAGCCAAGTGATGCAAAGACGGACGTTTAATTTGCGCGCTCAACATGCTGGCGAGACCTTTGATGATTTCGTAACATGTCTCAGGGATCTAAGCAAAGACTGTGGCTTCTGCGATGGTTGCAGAGACAGCTTGATCCGCGACAGAATCGTGGTCGGCATTAGAGATACCGATGTGATCAGACGTCTGTGTGCGGTACCCGGCCTTACGCTCGATCAGGCGATCACCATTTGCCGATCTGAAGAATGCGCGACACGCGATGCTTATACCATCACCGATGGCGGAACCGGCCCAGACGTTTCGGCTGCTGCGCGCGGCCGTGCGGCACCGTTGCCCCCGGGCGGTGCAGCGCGCGGCCGAGGCCGGCGGACGCTATCCTGTGACGTCACAAGTGGAGCGGGGCGCGGTCAAGGTCGACGAGCGGCCTCAAATGACGTCACCTCCAGCCGCCGACCTGGCGCCGCGCCAACCTCGGCTCAGCAGCCCACCAGCCGCGGTGGGTTCAGGCGGCGCGCCGCACCGAACGACTCCTGTCGCCGCTGTGGTTACTACGGATGCCGCGGGGAGGACGCCTGCCCCGCTTTCGACAGTGTGTGTTTTCGTTGCCGTGAGTTCGGCCACTGGGGCCGAGTGTGTACCAGAAGACTCGGGAACAGGTATGC